TTTGAGCGATATACGATAACTGCACGTGTAGCATACACGACAATATTTGTAGAAGTGCATTATATGTTTGTTTTATTTAACAGCCCTTGGTAATTCCACTGCTGGATGAAGGCATTCCCCCCCCCCCCCCCCTCATGCACGTGGCTGGAGATTGGCACCAGCAGCTAATTAGAAATCGGACCTCGGTCCACTAAATCAGAGCCCATTTCCTTAAAAAAAAAATTTTTTTTACCAAGTCAACGGTGCTCGACTCTGGCTATTGGTCAACGTTCTGCCTGAAGCGGTATTGAAGAGCAGGCGTTTCGGGGTCCCAGGGGATTGAAGACGCCCTGAGCAGCTACGGTAGCCGTGTGTTGAGAGAGAGCGAGAGAGCTTGGCTCGAGAGAGACGGCCTACACGTCCGGTCGGAGAAAATAATCAAGTGGTGTACTTGGCAGTGACGGTCTAACACGTAGTAGGAGGCTTTCGCGACCAATATTTTCCATAATAGAGGTCGTTTTGGGTTAGATCACGTGAATATCAATGTGTCGTTAAAACCCGCCACCACCCGACACGAAAAAACCTGGAAGGTTTGTCACTTAAACAAAATATGCCAATTAGTTACTGCTTCAGCACATTTGGTTGTGTGCTGGAGAGAAAAACCCACAAGTTTTTTCAATTCGAGTACAATGACGTTTCACCGGTAATTGCAACCAGCCTCATCAGGCGACAGCCAGTAGCTGTCGAGAAATCCTCCTCCTGTTTCGGTCTTAAATAGAGGGAGTAAAAGTGATGTCAATCCTGACTAACTAGCTGTCCTGGGTGGTGGCGTGTTTAACGACACATTTATTTTTACGCGATCTAACCCGAAAACAAAACTTTATTAAGGGCAACCATTTTTTATTTCCCGCAAAGCGGTGCTAATTTTATTGACCCCCAACAAGATGATTGGCCGAGTCTACTACCCTCAACGGGGAGTTGAGCTCTTAATGACAGTGTCGGAGCACAGTGCACAGTATATATTGTATTAGGGTAGAGTATACTGCAGGATAGAGTACTGTATATTGGGGTGAAATTGGGGGCGGAATCACACTGCTAAACAGCACATATGCTGAGTTAAATTCCTGGCCATGGCTAGTGTACATCAGTGGTGATTGATATCTGAACCGCCTTCAACTAATGTTGACCAGCGTGGTGAAGTATGGCCATTACAACCCCTCGTGACTTGACACGGCTCGACGGGACCTTTAAACCTTGACGAAAGCTTTTAAAAACATTATTGTATGTCCATTAACCGTACTGCAGGTGTCTATTTACATTTGCAGGAATGGCAAAAAAAAATCTAACCGACGCAGACGAAACACGCTGCGCGGACTCTTAAATGCCGCATTATTTCTCCGTGGCAGTGTTACGAGCTTGGTGTCCATGTTTACATTCACAACGGCAGGGCCCCCCCGCCCCCCCCGCCCCGCATCTGTGTCCACGTCTCTGGCCCCAAAAAACCAAACCACGCCGCATTACGAGTTGGGCGTCAGGAAATCGCACAAGAGCTCGCAGCAGCGACGACGACGACGACAATGCCGCCTTCATCGTCGACGTTTTCCCGTAGCGGGAGGGAAATCGGCCGTCCTCGAGGTGCCGATCGCAGAGTCCACGGGGGTCGGAAAGACCTACGGAGGCTGCGCGCGGCTCTTATGGAGGACTGCTTGGTGACGTTTTTTCTGCGTGCGTGCCTTTAGCGTGGTTGTCCTTCCCCCGGCACCTCCGGTGAGCACGGTCGGCTACATAACGGTGCGGAAGAAGTTCAACATACGTTACATGTGCAGTGTGTCGACTTAGGCGCACACTTGTACTTGGAGGCAGCACGTTTTTGTTTAGCACACCGGTTAACTCCAGCAGGGTAACAGCACAGGGTGGTGGCCACCACGGCCAACTAAACTGACACTCGGAGAGACAATTCTATAGCCGGACCCGGACAGCTAACGGGCTGCCTGGTCCACACGTGGAGGCCGAGGATCGAGGATCGAGGATCGAGGATGGAGAACGGCGACTTCATTCCCAGAGTTGAGCGCCCCGATCCCTCTTGGGACCCCGCTTATAACTCCCCAGGCGTGGCTGGCTCCGCCTTTGGCCACGCCCCCGCTTCCAGAACCCTCGTGATCCTCTCACCCCGGACTGGGGCCCCCCTGCCCCCTCTCGTCCGGTCACGCGCCCTCCCGGGTTCACCTCGCGGTCACGTCCTGACACGACCCCCTTCTCAGCGACACCCGGGCTCCGCGCTTGCAGTCCCACCGCTCACACGGCACTGTCTCTGCACCGCGGTGGGCCCCCTCGAGGCCACCACACACACATACGCATTCACATGAATTGGCGGACCTTTAAATATTGTGGGGGGTTTTTTTCCTTACCCCAAAAAATGCCTCTTCGTGTTATTTTGCTTGCCCGTCCCAGGGATAGTCGATGCGTGGCATGACTTGACGTAGATGGCGGGGGGGGGGGGTAGAGACGCAGGGTGAACGTTCAGATCCAAACGCGTGTGCGTGCTGCGGCCCTTTCGTCATTGCACTGCTGGGTCAAGGAAGGCCCTCTCCACGCTGCCGTGGGTCATGGGGGTCAGTTGAGCATACTTCACCATGCCGGTTCTGGTTGGTGAAAGTGTAGTACAGTGATACCCCGGTTTACGTCCACGATGCGTTTCTGATAGGTGCGCCACGGAAGTCGTGGCTTCGATCCCAACCCTTGACGCCTGCTGCTGTATATTTGGAGGTTGCACGTTTCCCTCCCCGTGGTCGCGTGGATTTATTCCCGGGTCCTCCGGTTTTTCCCCTCCACATTGAGAATCAACGTGCTTCTTAGAGTATTTGCTTTACGTTTCTACGCGATAAGCCACTTTGTTGAGCTGTCATTTGCGATAGCCAGGTGGCTTCTGAAAAAGAGTTACATAGATCAGTGGGCATTACCTGGTAAATAAAACCGCAAATGTAGATAACGTGAAGTCGAGGGCTTAACTGTGCGCACAACGCGTGTGAACACGCGGCGCTCGTATCAGCCCAGCGTACGTGCGCCACAATGAGTTTGCGCGTTTAGGCACGTTGTCCCGGTGTTGGGAGAGCGGCTTGCGAGCGTAAGTCTGACGGCTTGTCGGCAATTGCCGAAAATCCCGTTTATTTCATTACAGTACCGTACTTCATTTTTGGCGCGTAAGCTGATTGACTTTGCACGCCACGCACGAAATGTAGTGTCGGGTCTAAGCAAGAGCGATCCGGTGAAGTTGACCGCACGCACAGCTTAGAGTAAGGGCCCCCGAGGAACCTGAATTCTTTGTCGTGAATAAATAATGTGGTTGAAAATGTAATGGTGACAATACAAATCGGACTTATTCTACTATAATTTATTCACGTGACTTGAAACTTAACTCTCTACTCGAACCAAAATATCGATCTACCCCCGGCTTAACTCACAGAGTTACTCACAGAGCGACTCTAAAGCAGGTCTGCTCTCTGCTCTGTCCAGGTCACTTTTGCAGTTCCATAAACGGCTGCCGTATTCTCCGAATTAAACGACGCTCCAGAATGTAAGAGACACCCCAAACCTGTGCCCGGTGTCAACAGAGGGATGCAAATCATGTCGCCACCACTAATACCCGCCATTCGCCAGGTACACTTTCAGGGCACGCGAAATGTCGAAGGCTCAGTGCTGGCAGGAGGTCATGGGACAGACCCAGGTGCCATGGGTTGACCGACTAAGATGACTGGCAAATCTGGCCACGCATACGCTCAAACACAACGACTGGATTATTAGACGCACCCACAACCAAAACCTTCGCTTGAACATACTGGGGGAAATGTGCGTCGTATTACCCGGAAAACATTGTAACTGGGGGAAATGATTTGCGTCGGCTAATTGAGTTGATGCGAGGACAGCAGCAGCGGCAGCTGCCAATACATAAATAGATCACGAGACGGCCTTAGGTCACACAGCCTAGCGCTGTCACCTGAGCACACTCGTGGCGAGGTGGCTCAGGCCGTCCTACAATAAGCGCCACCTTTTTGTCGGTCTGTCTGATATCAACGGTGGCATTAGTGGCATTGCAACTCAGGGCTTATGGCCACTGAAGGAGATGATCTCTGCCTCACGTGCATTCGACCAGGGAGCACCGTGGCACAAACTGTGTACGCAGCGTGTACGTGCGTGTGTGTGCGTGTGAGCGTGTGTGTGTGAGCGTGTGTGTGTGTGAGCGTGTGTGTGTGTGAGCGTGTGTGTGTGTGAGCGTGTGTGTGTGTGAGCGTGTGTGTGTGTGAGCGTGTGTGTGCCAAGTGGCTGTGTTGCGTGTACTGTATGTATGTGTGTGACCTAAAGAGCGGTGACAGTGGTTAACGCTGTGAACCCAGCGACCTGAGTTTTATTACTGCCAGCCATGACTAACTTGGGTGGCTAGTGAGCGGTAGTGTAGCGGTTAGCGCACTGCGCCACAAACCTGGTGACCCGAGTTCGATTCCCGCTCACGGCCAACAGCAGTGACGATTATCTGAATCGGTCCTGGGCCTCCCCAAGGTCGACTTGGCCTCAAACGAGTACCCTGTGCGGTGTGTAAACATCGCCACTGGGGAGACAAAGGCGGCCGGGCGTGATGCTGGCCACTCACCCACTCGTGTGCCGTACCGGCTTTCATAGTGTGCTCGCTAACGCCACTTGCCCCTCCAGCCTGTTAAGGCTACACGGGGGACCTTTGTCTCGGCGGTTAATGCTGTGAACCTGGCGACAATGAGTTATATCGCTAACATTGGTGGCTCGTGATAACAGGTCGACTCGGCCTTGAACAAAGTACCCGGTGCGGCGTGCAACATCAAGCACTGTGGGGTGATGAAGGCAGGCCGGGAGCGGTGCTAGGCACCCCCACCCCCTCAACGTTGCGCCGTGCCAGCCTTAATGGGCGCATTCGCTAACAGCGCTCGCCCCGACGGTCTGCTAAGGCTCCACGGCGGGGGGTCTGTTGCCTTTGTCTCCGTGGTCGAACGCAGGAGAGAACTTTGAGTGCACCCCTCTGCGTCGCACCTTCAAGGCCAAGGTGCTGGCTCACTACCCCCAGGCGGTCGACTGGAACCCCTTCGATGGAGACGCCGTGGGCATGGTACGTGCTGCCCCCCCCCCACCCCCCCCCCCTCACCCTCGTGGTCTCCCGCACGCCGCCGGCTCACCCGGCCAACGTCGCTTGCCGCTGCGTCCCCACCGCGCGCCCGGCGCTCCGATACCGCAATACCGCATCGCAGTGAACGCAACGCCGATTGGCGCGGTTGGGCTACGTATGGTGCGAAAGAAGTTCAACAGCCACACACATTTACAGACGTACGTACAACGGGCCTGGTTCCTCTTTTAGCCAGCGTGCTGCTCTGTACGTCCAGGCACGGAGGTGAGAATCAACGGGTCACACAGATTTGTGAAATTCCCATCCCTACGAGGCTGCGAGGTGGCCCAGGGGGGCATGGCAGTGCAGCAAGTGGGTTCGTGAACCCCGTCTGCACAAGTGTTGCCTCGTTATTCACGATACTAGCTATCCGCGATTTTGGCTATCAGCGAATCGCATCTCTACACGACTGCCTCGAGAGAGAGAGAGTGATGAACTTAAAGAGAGAATGCGATGCGAGAAAGTGATGAGATAAAATGATGATGCAAGCATCATCAAAATATTATTTGGGTCTTTCGGTAAAGTCACGTAGATAGGTTGAAAGAAAATAACAAAAAACTACGACGTTTCGATCACAACACAAGCGCGGTCGTGATCAGCAGGAAAGAAGAGAAAAGCTGCTGAGGCAGCCTGTTTTAAAGGTTTAGAATGGGCGTAGCCCAAGGGTCATAAACCAAGTGGGCGGGGCCAGGGATGTTAATGTGAGAGATTAGCATGTTAACGGGAGAGATTAGCAAGTTAATGTGAGAGATTAGCATGTTAGTTGGAGAGATTAGCATGTCAATGGGAGAGTTTGGCATGTTACATGTGAGAGATTAGCATGTTAGTGTGAGATATTAGCATTGTAATGCATGAGGTTACCATGTTAATGCGAGATATTACCATGTTAATGTGAGAAATTGGCATGTTAATGTGAGAGATTACCATGTTAATGTGAGAGATTAGCATGTTAATGTGAGAAATTAGCATGTTAATGTGAGAGATTACCATGTCAATGTGAGAGATTACCATGTCAATATGAGAGATTACCATGTCAATGTGAGAGATTACCATGTTAATGTGAGAGATTACCATGTTAATGTGAGAGATTAGCATGTTAATGTGGGAGATTAGCATGTTAATGTGAGAGATTACCATGTTAATGTGAGAGATTAGCATGTTAATGTGAGAGATTACCATGTCAATGTTAGAGATTAGCATGTTAATGTGAGAAATTAGCATGTCAATGTGAGAGATTAGCATGTTAATGTGAGAAGTTAGCATGTTAATGGCAGCTTGCAGAGCCTCTTCTGCGTCGGCGCGTGAAGTGGCTGTGTTAGTGTGAGACATTTAACCTGTTAATGTGAAATATAGAGCCGAAAATAACTACTTACATCGGAAGGTAGGGTGGAAACATTGCAGCCAGTTATGACTTAAACTGGTTAATAACGTCCTTCCAATGATTGCTCAGTGCGTACCCATCTATCTCGGGTGAAATTGTGTCTGTGTCTATATATCTGGACGGCTTCATGAACGAATCTTTGTTGATAGCCGTTGGGTTTGCAAAGTATCCTCGTCTTAGGTATACACGCTCAGACGACAGACGCACGTGATAATGTCTCCAAATCTACTAGAGGCGAGAAGTGATCGTGACTCATGACAGAGGGGGAAGCTGGTATTCGGGATTATCGACGAATCGTTGCGTCTGCGCCTTACTGTCGGGGATCGAGACGGCTAGGAGAGGCCTTCATCCAGCAGTGGAAAATAATGGCCGACGACGTTGGCCACGATTCGGTTTCGTCACGCCTTTGCTATGATTTGTACATCCGAACATCGAAGCTCGGTTGATTAAAGGGAAACGCAAATAGAGAAATACACGTCGCCTGTCTCTCATATATCAGAGCCTCGGCTTGCCGCCAAAGTTTGTCCGACGCAAGCTCTGGGCTTCGTCTGTGAGGAAATTGACTTGTTCTCTGTCTCGTGCGCTCCGTTCGAGCAAGCTAATGACGCCGCTGAGGCTACCACCATACGCTTTAATACAGAGCAAGGGACGTCACACTAGGGTCCTCTGGCAGAGGGCCTTTGTTTGATTTTTAATGGATTTGTTTCTTCATTAGAAAGGTTTTAAACTCGTGTCAGACAGCCTGGGACACACTGCGGCGGTGGCGAGGAGACGTTAACTACCTCGCCTGGTATCCGGGAGGTCGTGGGTTCGATCCCGACCCTGACGCCTGCTGCTGTATTTGGAGTTTGCGTGTCTCTCTCCTCCTGGTTGCGTGGATTTTCTCTGGGTGTTCTGGTTTTTCCCTCCACATTTAGAAACATGCTTTTTAGAGTATTTGGCTGTAATACATTTCCATGCGATAAGCCACTTCGTTGAGCTGTCATTTGTGGCTTTACAACTCAATGGGCCTTACCTGATAAAAATTTTAAAAAATGTTTAAGAGTGTACTGCTCGTGTGTTTATCCACAAGATAATAGATATTAGTTTTTGAATAAAACAATTCCATTACAGTAAAACCTTGGATTTGCGAGCATAATTCGTTCCGGAAACATGTTTGTAATCCAAAGCACTCGTACATCAAAGCACTGTTATGTCAGTTGTGATCACGTGACACTCGGCAGACAAAGCGTGTATACGTACTGCTCTTATTGCAAGACCATCGCTCGTTTATCAAATTAATATTTATTTAAAATGTTTGCTCGTCTTGCAAGACACTCGCAGACCAAGTTACTCGCAATCCGAGGTTTTATGTGCTTGAAAGCGTGTGACATGCTTAAAAGCGACGCGTACCTATTTAGCTGCGGAGACATTTTGGCAAAAGCGCGCGGAGAAGGACGATCGTCGTTGCGTATTTATTTCCCCCTAATTTAGGTGCGAGTCTTTTTCACGTTGGCCCTTTGGCCACACGGCGCACGAGTCACCTGCCGCTGTGAACGACCCGTCCGCCCGTCCGTCCGTCCGTCCGTCCGTCGGTCCGTTGGGTCGTCGCGCACAGTCGCAGCGGAGGGCCGCCGCTGCGCCAAACGTGCGCGCGTGACCTCTTGCGAGCGACAGCATTCGCATGAACCGCTCTTGGCCGCCGTACACACCGGCGTCTCCAGTGATTTTGTTTGATCCACGGATCGCGTGGAGGGGGCGGCGGGGCGGGGCGGGGGGGGGGGCTGGCGGCACCATTCCTTTGAGGGGTCGCAGTCCACCACTTGGAACGTCGACCGCCAAACGACGATGGCAGCGGAGCCACCTCGAATGGCACCTCGCGGCGGCGGCGGCGGCAGATGGCTCTACGCCTGCCCAACTCAATGTCAGCGCTTAATGGACCCAGGGTCAGGGTATTGATGTTTCTCTGAGTTTGCCTTCAAACCCTTGCGTCGTGAGCAACGCTTCATTTGGAACGTCGATCGGCAAATTCCTCTTGCATGTTTGTGACGTACGTCAAGAGAAGTTTACGTTACGCAAACGCAACGAGTTTTAACGTATCGTTTAATTATTAAAATCCATTAAACCCGCTGCATCTTAATGGAAAGTTTATTGGGTTTTTTTTTTCTCATTTAAATCGCGAAACATTTTAAACCTGAATTTGTACAAGCACCGCGAAGCAGCAAGCACTGACAGGAGGTACAGCTCCCCTAACTATGCAGTGCCATTTCATTAGATAATTATCAAAACAATATCGGCCCACGGCAATGCTGAGAATTGAATCCGCTTTACAAACAGGAAAGTGTCCCACCTCTCACATTCCAGCTCCTTGCCTACAGGAGGCTGAGCCACCTTCAGCACTTAGCTGAGGTTGTGTCTCCACTAATGGACGTATTGGCGGTACCCCGTGCAGCATAACACACCGGTCCGCATAAAACAGTCTTGACGATATCGCTTTTGCATACTTATCGGTGCCTTAGATTATTACAGACCAATTCAGACCTTATTGGTCACCCCGTGCCCCTTATAAATCCCAAGGTTCATCCTACAAAGTCCCATCACAAGGGAGAAACAAAAACAAATTGACAAAACATATATTTTACTCGTTTTCCCTGTACAAGAATACGGGTAAACCGTACGGGTTGACAGGTATGCTGTTGCCCTTGAGTGAGCCACAGACACTCCATCGGAAGTTGCCTTAGATTCAACAGACTGTGAAGCATCGTGCTCAGCCGCTCACAACGTTCGTCTTCCGACTGCTTCGGCGTCACGAGAACTGATTTTGACGCACCACCACCACCACCACCCCGCAAGATTTTCTGACCAAGGTTGCGAATCGCGGGAAAGTAAATAATTTCTGCGAAAATTTAGATTTTCTTCATTCCGCGTACGACCGGTGTACCTCCAATACGTTCAAATACGCAATCTATGCCGTGTTTCAGTCTGTTGTGTGAAGGCCTCCCCCATCAGAGTCCGCACCGGTCTGTAACACCTCTCCCAGCTTGAGACGTTCCGGGCCGGCCTGGCGCGGTTTGGAAGGTGCCGAGTTATCATTCCGCCGCAAAACCCGCGGCGCTGACGTCTTTGTGCGGCGAACGGGTCGAGTCGCATGCCCGGCGAGAAACGATGAACTACCCCCCCCCACCTCCCCCCACCACTCCCCCAGGGGTCCCCTGCTTGGCACCCCAGCCAGATTCACATGTTCTCGTGAGGCCAGGCGTTGTAGCGTTCGATTCGGACTCGGCCTGGCAAAATAGCCGGAGGGAAATCGCCCGTGCCGTGAAGGGCCACCATGCTGGCGCGGCTCGGATGCGCCGGTGGGAAAAAAAAACACCGCACGTCTGTCGTGCGTACGCCCCATCGGGGTACGTCTCTCGCGAAGCGTACGCGGTTTCCGATGACGCCGCTAACGCGCCTTTCTCTTGCTCTACTCCCCCAACCTCGTCCTCCCTTCTCTCTCTCCCCGTTGGAATGCCCTCGCTCTCGCCTCCTCCACGGGTGACGGGGGCGGCGGCGTTTTGGGTCGGGGAGCAGCTGTGCATGCCGAAGGGGCTGTCGTTCCGGACGCAGACGGACGACCGCACGCCACACTTCCACTCGTTCCTCATCACCCGCGAGGACGGCACGCGCACTTACGCCTTCGCGCTCACCTTCTACGAGGAGGTCACGTGCCGCTCCATCTGCCACGCCATGCACACGCTCTACGCCATGCACAACGCGCAGAGCGGCGACGGCGGCGGCGGCGGCGGCGGCGGCGGCGGCGGCGGCGGTGGCGTCCGCGACATCGCCACGTTCGCGATCCCCGAATCGCCGGACAGCCCCGGGGTCTCCGCGGGACGCTTCCCCGCGGAGACGCCGCCGCTGCCGCCGGCGGAACGGAGGGGGCGGCACGGCGGTGGGGGGGGCGCTCCGATCGGCGGGGGCGGCGGCGGGGAGGGGCGCCTGCTGCAGCGCTTCAACTCGTACGAGATGGGCTGCGACACGCTCTACGTCTCCAAAGCGCTGTGCCTCATCACGCCGCTCCCCTTCGCTCAGGTTCGCGCGCCCGGCCTGCGCCGGGGTTGTCGGCGTCGACCGCGGTTTGCTCCGATGACGTAGAACGCCGGGGTGGCTGTGTTGCTCGGCGTGCCCATACCGCAGGACCCTGTTTAAAGGGGGCGGGGGGGGGCATACAGAAGACTTAAGTAGGGGAGGGGGGCACAACACAGTGACTGTTAAACACACTTCCAAGAACTAAAAAAACAGAATGAGTAACAGTGCCAACGTCAATTGTCTATCATGTATTCTGTTCTAGCTCTCACCTGCTGTGAGAGCAGGTGAGATGTTAACTACCTCGCCTGGTCGACGGGAGGTCGCGGTTTTGAACCCGACCCTGACGCCTGCTGTATATTTGGAGTTTGCGTGTCTCTCTCCCCGTGGTCACGTGGATTTTTCTCCGGGTCCTCCAGTTTTTCCCTCGACATTTAGAATCAACATCACGCATTTAGCGTTATTTGGCTCCTGTAACATTTCCACACGACGATAAGCCACTTCGTTGAGCTATTGTTTGTGGGCGTGTGTGTGTGTGAGTGTGTCGCTTCTGAAAAAGAGCTCCATAGCTCAGTGGGCATTGCCTGGCGAAATTAAAAATAGTTTAGTTTTCACAAAGGGAGACCACATCACCACCTTGATAAATTCTTAAACATTGTTCTGACATTTTTTGACTTTACTGCAAGAATTTCTAAGGGTGCCTAAGGCCTCATCAAGGGGTGATCTGCCCCCTCCAGCTCCTGGCTCAGCTGGGCCGATCCCAGTGTCGGAGCAACCAGCCAACAACTCTACGTTAGAATCCAGTGTGTTAGACACCCACACGTGTAGGAAAAATAAGAATAGGCTTTATCCTTGCTGGCAATTAAACAGGAGGTATTAAGATGGTAAAACACCAAATATAAAAAAAATCTTTTGCAAGGCACCAAGTTCGCATTAACCACACGTACTTGTGGTGAACATGCAAACAAACATGCTGTGATAAGTTATGCATTGTCTTTAAAACTGATTGGCCTACACCAGAGAAAGACTTCCTCTTTATGGTCTTGTCTCACCACCAGTGTTAGACCAGAGAACGCCTCAAGGCAAACAAAGACAACGAACGTATCGGAGCATTTAATAATAATAATTCAAGTGTATAATGCGGATTCCATCCTCGGATCCCAATGCGCAATGCATGGAAAGCGGTGAAACAAACTAGAGAGGGAATGCCACTTTTAATATAGATGGGTTTTCAAAGCAGACTTAAATATATCGACCTACTCTGATTTCCTGATTTCAAGTGGCAAGGCGTTCTATGGCTTTTATAGGTCGGGCTGAGCAGCTATATTCTGGGACACCTTTTTTGCCAGCATCAAAGTCTGAAAAACAAGCATAGGTTTTGTGCCCTTTCTGGCAACGACAAAATACAAAATCGTACTTTCGATGGTAGTGGCAAAAAGGTCCCATGATATCCACACGCGTGTGTATGTGTGACAGTTAGTTTAACCCCCACCCCCCCCTCTGCCCGGCGCCTGCAGGCGTGTCGCAAGGTGCTGCTACAGCTGCACCGCGCGGTGACGTCACCGAGGCCGCCGCCGCTGCCGCTCGAGAGCTACGTCTACAACCTCCTGTACGAGGTGCCGCTGCCTCCGCCGGGCCGCTCGCTGCGCTTCGCCGGCGTGCAGGGCCCCCTGGTGGTGTGCCAGCGGCCCGGCGCCGCCGAGCTGCCGCTGCTGGACCACGCGCTGCGCGAGCTTGTTGAGCTGCTGGGCCTGGACAACGTGCTGCAGCTGTTCACGTGCGCGCTGCTCGAGATACAGATCCTGCTCTACTCCAACGGTGTGTGTGCGTGAGTGTGTGTGAGTGTGTGAGAGTGTGTGAGAGTGTGAGTGAGTGTGTGTGAGTGTGTGTGTGAGTGAGTGTGTGTGTGTATGTGAGTGTGTGTGTGAGTGTGAGTGTATGTGAGAGTGTGTGTGAGTGTGTGTGAGAGTGTGTGTGGGGAGCGATAGTGTAGCGGTTAGCGCTACGCTGCGCTATGAAACTGGCGACCCGGGTTCGATTCCCGCTCACGGCCAACACCAGTGACGATTATCTGAATCGGTCCTGGGCCTCCCCTAGGTCGACTCGGCCTCAAATGAGTACCTGGTGCGGTGTGTAAACATTGCCACTAGGGAGACAAAGGCGGTCGGGCGTGGTGTTGGCCACCCACCCCCTCGTGTACCGTTCCGGCCTTCATAGGTGCTCGCTAACAGCACTTGCCGCTACAGTCTGCTCAGGCTATACGGGGGATCTTTGTCTTTGAGTGGGTGTGAGTGTGTGTGAGTGTGTGTATGTGTGTGTATGTGAGTGTGTGTGAGTGTGTGTATGTGAGTGTGTGTGAGTGTGTGTATGTGAGAGTGTGTGAGTGTGTGTGAGCGTGTGTGTGAGTGTGTGTGTGTGAGCGTGTATGTGAGCGTGTGTGTGAGAGTGTGTGTGTGTGTGTGAGCGCGTGTGTGAGAGCGTGTGTGAGAGTGTGTGTGTATGTGAGTGTGTGTGTATGTGTGTGTGAGTGTGTGTGTGTGAGAGTGTGTGTGTGAGAGTGTGTGTGTGTGAGTGTGTGTATGTGAGTGTGTGTGAGTGTGTGTGTCGCGTAGAGTTGACGCGCCGCGCTACAAACCCCGCGACCTGGGTTCGATTCCCGACTCAGCCTCAAATAACTACCTGGTGCCGTGCGGTGAAAACTTCACTATCAGGGGACAAAAAGCAGCCGGGTGCGGTGCTGGCCAACCACCCCCTCACGTGCCGTGCCTGCCTTAATAGATGCTCGCTAACAGCACCTTCCCCAACAGTCTGTTAAAGGCTATACGGGGGATCTTTGTTTTTGTATATATGTTGATCTTCTTTCCCCGTAGCCAACCGTGCTGACGATGATGAACAACGCGCCGGGCAGCTAAAACGCAGAAAGTTAGCACATGAAGGAGCACAGGTGGTGCATCTGCCAGTCGTCTTCGTCAGCCAAACCAATCCACGGCACCTGGGTCTGTCCCATGACCTCCTGCCGGCATCGAGCCTTCGACACTTCACGTTGCCTCAAGGTGCACCCTGGCCTGGCACCGGCTACGTGGTGACGTCGCCGCCACTTGGTGGCGAATGGCGGCTGCTGTTGTTGTTTTACTGGGATTGTGTTGACACCGGCCTTGTTGTGCCACCCACGACCTTTGACCCCCTTTATGCATGCGCGTTGAACTTCTTTCGCACCGTACGCAGACAACCGTGCTAATCGGAGGTGCGGGGAATGACAACAAACGAAACGCACAAAGCAGTTCCAAAGAAATGAGTTTGTCAGTCTAGAATCTAGATTATTTTAAACTGCACAGCTCCGGTGGCTTCGTCATATCGGAGGGAAGAGCGTTCCAGACGGCCGCAGAAGCGCATCTGAAGGCGAGCGATGCCATGACCGTTATTGTTCGATGGTTGGCCAAAAGCCGCCGCTGTCAGGGTGACCAGAGTTCGCGCGCTGGTTCGTGCTTTAGTTTAGTTTTAGTTTAGTTTATTTTTTTTTGGTAGAGCCCCGTGAGCCATTCGGCTCTTGAATCGGGTGCAACCGCAACTAAAAAACAAAAAAAACAAAAAAACACGACTGTGCAAACAGAAAATCTTTAAAAAAGAAGAAAAAAAAACCAGCAAAATATTCCTGAAAAAAAGCACCGTACACCAAACGCTGTGTGCAACAACAAAAAAATCCCAGTGGTGATGCTGCTTGAGCCTGACGCCCTCCCCCCCCCCCCGCCTCTCCCCGACCTCACCAGACTACCAGCAGCTGATGCTGGTGGCGGAGTGCGTGACGGCGCTGCTCTTCCCGTTCGCGTGGCAGCATGTCTACGTGCCCATCCTGCCCGCGTCGCTACTCTACTTCCTGGAGGCGCCCGTGCCCTATCTCATGGGGCTGCACGCGGAGAGCCACGACCACTGCTGCCTCCCGGAGCTGCCCAACGAGGTCGGCGAAGCAGCGCATCATCGCACCCAAAAAGACAAAGATCCCCCCCCCGGTCTAGCCTCAGCAGACTGTTGGGGCAAGTGCTGTTAGCGAGCAGCTGTGCCAGCACTTCGCCCGGGCCGCCTTTGTCTCCCCAGTGGCGATGTTTGCACATCGCAGCAGGTACCGAGTCGACCTAGGCGAGGCCCAGGGCCGCCTCAGATAATCGTCAGTGGTGTTGGCCGTGAGCGGAAATTGAACCCAGGTCGCAGGCTTCGGAGCGCAGCGCTAACCGCTGAGCCACCGCCCACCTACTCACGCGCCAAACCACCCACGCACCCACCCACCCACGCACCCACCCACGCACCTACGCACCCACCCACCCACGCACCCACCCACGCACCCACCCACGCACCCACCCACGCACGCACCCACCCACGAACCCACCCACGCACCCACGCACCCACCCACCCACGCACGCACCCACGAACCCACCCACGCACCCACCCACCCACGCACCCACCCACGAACCCACCCACGCACCCACGCACCCACCCACCCACGCACGCACCCACCCACGCACGCACCCACGCACGCACGCACCCACCCACGCACGCACCCACGAACCCACCCACGCACCCACCCACGCACCCACCCATGCACCCACCCACGCACCCACGCACCCACACACGCACGCATGCATCCACCCACCCACGCACGTGCGTGCTAGCAAAGGAAAAGATCTCCCCTCTAGCCTGTACAGACTGTTGGGGCAAGTGCTGCTAGCAAGCACCTGCAAGGGACGGCATGGCACATGAGGGGGTAGGTGGCCAGCACCACGCCCGGCCGCCTTTGTTTCCCCATTGCTGATAGTTTACTCACAACCACAGTACGAACAAGTAATTTAAGGCTGATTTGACCTCGGGGATGCCCAGGACCGGTTCAGATATGCGTCTCCAATATTGGCCGTGAGCGGGTCGCCGGGTTCGTAGCGCAGCGCACTCACCACTACTACATTACCTCATTCATATACAAAGACACACTACATGCATAGTTGCATATATATGCACGTACACTTATTCGTTCTTTTATACATGTACACGTGGACGTATTCATACATACACATGCATATACGACAGGGATATAGTTATACATGAATCAATCATCCCGATATATATATCCTTTCGCTCGTGATACGTGCTCCCGTCATGTTATACGTGACGGGTTTACGTGGCGCTCCGCGGCCGTGGAGACGGGACAGCGGCTCGGAACGCAGGTCGTGCCGGAACACGGTTAGTCGCCGGGCCTGCGTGCAGTAACGGTGCGTCGGTAGTGCCGGCGGTACGCGGCTGGCGCACGCGCGTGCGAGGCTAGGCCAACCCGGCCCACGCTCTCACGATCGCTCGACTCGAAACGTCGCCGTTTCGTTGTTTTTTTCCCCCCGCCACCCCCCCCCCCCCACACCCCAACCCTCCCGGCAGGCCAACCTGTGTTTCGTGGACATCACCAACCACCGGGTGGACGTCCCCGAGGACCTGCCGCTCTTCCCGCACAGAGCGGAGCTCGTGGCCGAGCTGGCCGCCGTCCTCGTCGCGTTCCGCGTGGCGCCGGATCCGCCGCCGCCGCCCGTCGTCGCCGCCGCCGGCGGCGGCCGCGCCGTCCGCCGCGGCGGCGGCGGCGGCGGCGGCAAACCCCCCGCGGCGACCGCCGCCGGCGCCGCCGGCGTCGCCGACCCGGCCCCGGCCCCCTCCCGCGACTCCGCGGCGGCCCCCGACCCCGCCGACGGCGCCGCCCTCCGGCGAGGGTGCGCCGAGCCGGCGCGGCGACGTCGGCCGCGCGACGACGAGGCCAACGGCAACGGGCCCGCGGCGGCGCGGGACGGCCCGGAGCGGCTCACGAGGATCCAGGCCCTGGCGCGCCGCGCGGGCATCGGCCTGCCGGCCGCCGACCCGGCCGACGGCGCGGCCGCGCCGGAACCGGGCGACGGGACGGGGCGTCCGCGGGACGCGGAGAGCAGGCCGGGAGAGGAGCGGCCCGCGGCGGCGGCGGCGGCGGCGAGGGCGAGCGGGCTGAGCGAGCGGGAGGTGGACGACCTGCGGCTGAACGCTCACCTCCGGGAGGCGTTCGCCAACCGCTTCACGCACATGTTCGCCGACTACGAGGTGTTCGTCATCGCGCCCGCCGGCCAGGAGATGGAGGCCTGGCTAGGCAGCAGCCGCGAGCAGACGCAGAACTTCGACAAGGTGCGCCCCCTGCCGGCTCGCGTGAAGCTGCTCGCCCACGGAGTGAACGGCGATAAGTCGCTGGTCTCCCCTCGTCAGGGAGCACGAACCAAGCACGCGAACTGCGGTCGTGCCGCACGGCGGCGTTTGGCTGCTGGCCGCGCTGCGCACTTTTTGGGGGGTGCGCTTCTGTGGCCGTCTGGAACGCTCTTCCTTCCGATAGCAGGACGCACTTTTAAAGCATCTGGATTGGAAACTCATTTGTGTAGAACTGCTTTTTGTGTTTAGATTATTGTCCTTCCCTCACAACCTCCAGTTAGCACCGTTGGACTGCGTGCGGTGCGAAAGAAGTTCATACACATGCAACTCTTTTATAAGTAAATCAATTACGTGGTGATGTTCTGGCAGTGGTGCACAAGCACAAATAACGAAACTCAACTCGTTTGTCTGTAACAATGCCTTCACCATCAACTTATTAAAAAAATATTTTTTTTTTTACTCTGTGTAATTCATTTCCATGGCCTTCCTCTAACTCGCCGCCACCTGCAATGCCCCCACCGACCCCCGTCGCTGATCCTCCCATTCCCCCTCTCCCCTACACGCTCACCTTCACCACAACGCTCTCTCTCCCTCCCTCCCCTCCCTCCCTCCCTCCCCTCCCTCCCTCCCTCCCTCCCTCCCTCCCTCCCTCCCTCCCTCCCTCCCTCCCTCCCTCCCTCCCTCCCTCCCTCCCCCCCACCCCCCAAGGCGTCGTTCCTGTCGGACCAGCCCGAGCCGTACCTGCCCTTCCTGTCGCGCTTCCTCGAGACGCAGATGTTCGCCTCCTTCATCGACGCCAAGATCCTGTCCCAGTGGGACGAGAAGGACCCGGCGCTGGCCGTGTTCGACGCTCGCGTGGAGAAGACGCGTCAGCTGCACGTGCGCACGCCCACCCTGCGCACCTCCATGTACCTGCGCAGCACGTCCGGCGAGGAGGCCGGTGCGTGCGTGCGTGCGTGTGTGCGTGTGTGTATGTTGGGACTTCTTTCGCACCGTACGTAGCCAACCGTGCTAACCGGAGGTTGCCGGGGAAGGAGCGATGGTGACGCTGTGGTGTTTGTGGCGGTTCGCGATCCGCTACCGGCCCCCGGCGACTCGGGCTCCATTACCCGCTCACGGATCGACTGAACCGGTCCTGGACCTCCCCTAGGTCCACTCGGCCTCAAATGAGTACCTGGGTGCGGTGTGTAAACATCGCCACTTGGGAGACGGAGGCGGTCGGGCGTGGTGCTGGCCACCCACACCCTCGTGTGCCGTGCCGGCCTTCATAGGTGCTCACTAACAGCACTTGCCCCAACAGTCTGTTAAGGCTGTACGGAGGATCTTTGTCTTTTGTTTGTTGAACTTCTTTTGCACCGTGCGTAGCCAAGCGCTATGTGGCATGTCTCTGCGATGTGGTACTGTAGTGTGTCACTGTGGTGTGTCTCTGTGGTGTGTCTCTGTGGTGTGTCTCTGTGTCTCTGTGGTGTGTCTCTGTGGTGTGTCTCTGTGGTGTGTCTCTGCGGTGTGTCTCTGTGGTGTGTCTCTGTGGTGTGTCTCTGTCTCTGCGGTGTGTCTCTGTGGTGTGTCTCTGCTGTGTCTCTGCTGTGTGTGTCTCTGCGGTGTGTCTCTGTGTTGTGTCTCTGTGGTGTGTCTCTGTGTCTCTGTGGTGTGTCTCTGTTGTGTCTCTGTGGTGTGTCTTTGTGGTGTGTCTCTGTGGTGTGTCTCTGTGGTGTGTCTCTGTGTCTCTGCGGTGTGTCTCTGCGGTGTGTCTCTGTGGTGTGTCTCTGTGGTGTGTCTCTGTGGTGTGTCTCTGTGGTGTGTCTCTGTGGTGTGTCTCTGTGGTGTGTCTTTGTGGTGTGTCTCTGTGGTGTGTCTCTGTGGGGTGTCTCTGTGTCTCTGTGGTGTGTCTCTGTGGTGTGTCTCTGTGGTGTGTCTCTGTGGTGTGTCTCTGTGGTGTGTCTCTGTGGTGTGTCTCTGTGGTGTGTCTCTGTGGTGTGTCTCTGTGGTGTCTCTGTGGTGTGTCTTTGTGGTGTGTCTCTGTGGTGTGTCTCTGTGTGTCTGTGGTGTGTCTCTGCGGTGTGTCTCTGCGGTGTGTCTCTGCGGTGTGTCTCTGTGTCTCTGTGGTGTGTCTTTGTGGTGTGTCTCTGTGGTGTGTCTCTGTGTGTCTGTGGTGTGTCTCTGCGGTGTGTTTCTGCGGTGTGTCTCTGTGTCTCTGTGGTGTGTCTCTGTGGTGTGTCTCTGCGGTGTGTCTCTGTGGTGTGTCTCTGTGTCTCTGTGGTGTGTCTCTGTGGTGTGTCTCTGTGTCTCTGTGTTGTGTCACTGTGGTGTGTCTCTGTTGTGTCTCTGTGGTGTGTCTCTGTGTCTCTGTGTTGTGTCACTGTGGTGTGTCTCTGTGGTGTGTCTCTGTGTCTCTGCGGTGTGTCTCTGCGGTGTCTCACTGCATAGCGTGTCTCTGCGGTGTGCCTCTGTGGTGTGTCACTGTGGTGTGTCTCTGTGGTGTGTCTCTGTGGTGTGTCTCTGTGGTGTGTCTCTGTGGTGCGTCTCTGTGGTGTGTCTCTGCGGTGTGTCTCTGTGGTGTGTCTCTGCGGTGTGTCTCTGCGGTGTGTCTCTGTGGTGTGTCTCTGTGGTGTCTCACTGCATGGTGTGTCTCTGTGGTGTGTCTCTGTGGTGTGTCTCTGTGGTGTGTCTCTGTGGTGTGTCTCTGTGGTGTGTCTCTGCGTTGTGTCTCTGTGGTGTGTCTCTGTGGTGTGTCTCTGTGGTGTGTCTCTGCGTTGTGTCTCTGTGGTGTGTCTCTGTGGTGTGTCTCTGTGGTGCGTCTCTGCGTTGTGTCTCTGTGGTGTGTCTCTGTGGTGTGTCTCTGCGTTGTGTCTCTGTGGTGTGTCTCTGTGGTGTGTCTCTGTGGTGTGTCTCTGCGTTGTGTCTCTGTGGTGTGTCTCTGTGGTGTGTCTCTGTGGTGTGTCTCTGTGGTGTGTCTCTGTGGTGCGTCTCTGCGTTGTGTCTCTGCGGCGTGGGCAGAGCTGGCCGTGCTGTCGCGCCTGGCGCGGATCGACCACACCGCCGTGCGCCCCCACCTGCTCGACATGCGCATCGGCCAGGGCAAGTACGAGCCAGGCTTCTTTCCCAAGCTGCAGGCCGACATCCTGGCCACCGGGCCCCCCGGGAACAAGTGAGACCCCCCTCCCCCCCCCTCCCCCCACCTCCTCCCACCTCCCCCCACCTCCCCCCACCGCCGCAATGCAGGGACGCGTTCCCCTCCTCCGGCCACAGTTCGTGGCTGTTGCGGCAACACCAGGCGATGGTGGGGGGGGGGGGGGGCACAGCTGGTGCATCTCCATGGCACCTGGGTCTCTGCCGTGACCAACCGTGGCCTCAAAGTGCGCCTGGCCTGGCACGGGCGCCGTGGTGACGTCACCATCACTGAGTGGCGAATGGCGGCTGCTGTTGTTGTTTTGTATGTGGATGTATGACCGTGTGTGTGTGTGTGTATGTCTGTGCGCTAGGAACCCCGGCGACACGAGTTCGATTCCCGCTCACGGCCAACACCAGTGACGATTATCTGAACGGGTCCTGGGCCTCCCCTAGGTCGACTCAATTGAGTACCTGGTGTGATGTGTAAAAATATTGGCACGAGGGAGCCAAAGGCGGCCCGGCGTGATGCTGGCCACCCACCCCGTCGCGTGCCGTCCCGGGCTTCATAGTCGTTGACTAACAGCACTTGCCACAACAGTCTGTTAAGGCTAATCTGGGGGATCTTTGTCTTTGTGTGCGTATGTATGTAATGGATGTGTATGTGTGGGGAGTGGTAATGTAGTGGTTAGCGCACTGCGCTATGAACCCGTTGGTTGATTCCCACTCACGACTAATAACCTTGGCGAATCTATGAAGCAGTTCTGGGTCTCCACCAGATTGATTTGGCCTTAATTGAATATCTGGTGCGATGTGGTAAACATTAGCACTTGCCGGACAGGCACCCAGGCGTGGTGCTGGCCACCCACCCCTTCGTGTTCCGTTCCGGCTTTCGTAGGTGCTCGCCAACAGCACTTGCCCTGGCAGTCTGTTCACGGCGATACGGGGGCTGTTTGTCTTCGTGCAGGTGGGTGAAGAGAGCGAGCAAAGCTCCGTGGCTGAGGCGGGATCACCTGCGGCAAAACTCTGAGCACCAGCAACTGGACAACGAGCAGGTGCCGTGCGACTGCGATTTCCCGAAATCTCTCCCATTGTGAGGTGGCTGCTTCAGGGCCCAATCGGAACACGCAATCGAATGGGCCAAGGCACGTGTCTGTGTCACAGCCTAATCCAAGTCTTCACTGAACAAAGATCCCCCATGTAGCCTTAACAGACTCTTGGGGCAAGTGATGTTAGTGAGCAGCCGTGAAGGCCGGCACGGCACACGAGGCAGTGGGAGGCCAGCACCACGCCCGGCCGCCTTTGTCTCCCGAGTGGCGATGTTTACACATCGCACCGGGTGCTCATTTGAGTCCCCACGCGCGCCCACACACACACGCACACGCGCACGCGCCGACCTAGGAGAGGCCCAGGACCGGTTCGAATATTCGCCATCGTTATTTGTCGCGAGTGGGAATCGAACTCGGGCCGCTGGTTTCGTCGTGCAGTGCGCCGACCCGCTGCACTTGAACACCACACACACGCGAGCGATAGAATGCGGACCTACAACACGGCTCAATGTGACCACGTCTCACACTGCTGTGCAGGCAATGCCAGCTCCTGGCTCAACGTGATGAGGAGTTTGCAGTGCTTTTATTTGTGCACGAGTGTCGTGTGATGTCGGCTGGGGGTTTTGTGGGAGGCTGCCGAGTAAAGGAATGAACGAAAATGAAAATGAGAGCGGTGGCAGTTTTTGTCCGGAATGGGATTGGGAGCGAGTGAAGGGATTTGAGGATTGGGTTGACGTGGTCTTGTTTACAGTCGGGGGTGGGGGAGTCTGGCTGTTGCATTCTGGGTAATTGAGAGTTTCGATGGGAGTTAATAGAGGAAGGCAGAGAGAGAGAGAGAACGTTAATCAAGGTGAGAAGTGACGAAAACAGAGCCATGACAGTATTAAGCATTCAGTTCCGGGCCTGCTTGGGATGTTTGCCATCACCGGCATCGACTGTGATCACAGCCCTTGTGATCTTGATTTTTCAACGTTGAAATCATTTCCTTACCGTTACGTTTGTGAAATAGTTTTTTCTGCTTTTGAAAAATTGCGCAAAAAATAAGCGGGAGATTGTAGAGAGGCTTGAAAACAAAAAAAGTGCCCGTCCTGTGATTAATGGTTCAAAGGGTCATGTTTCGTAAATTCGTGGATTTCTGCAATCAAAGCGAACGGACAAAGATGTGGCTTGTTGTTCGAGGAACCTAATCGTACGCCTTCTCTGTTCACGCCCCGCTTGTGACCTTAACACAACGCTCGCTATTTTTTTGCGCAACGCCCGACTTAACGCGTAACCTTGCTCAACCTAACGGGAATGTGCTACTGAAACGTGGCACGTAAAACAAACTAAAATTGCGCGTGTGCCAAGTGCCGATTGGCGTTGCGCCGCGCGCAAAACCAACGCTCGTCGTGAGATACGCGCCGGATGTACGCGCGCGAACATCGCGCGCCTTGATGGGCACTTAACATGCGCTACGATCGCTTGCAAAAACGCACGCACTCTTAACGCGTCAAAACGCCGACGCGCGTTTTATATTTATATATGTACGCGCACGTGGCCAAAAAAACGCATGCCCAAATGGTCTCCCAAAATCGACTGCGCGCTGGAAGGGGCACACCAACGTCACGAATGTTGCATTTGTATATCGTGTGCAAAAAAAAATACTAATTTGTCGCGATAAAACAAATTACAAACAAACAAACAACAACCACGCCTCGGGACGCGTCCTAACGCACCCTGGTGAAAACGGGGGGGGGCGGGGGGGGGGGGGGGGGGGCGGGGGGGGGCGGGGGGGGGGGGGTGGCGCGCAACTTCCCCTCGAAAACAAACCGCAAACTAACGCGGGCTCCGCCCCCCCCGCCGCGAACGCGCGTGCATGCCGCACAACGCACACCCATCTGCGATGGGGAAAACAACAAAATAACCCCGCGCGCGCAAAACCACCACCAAACCCCGCGCGACGACGACCGCCGCAGCCGCCGCTCGCTGCCGCCGTCACGGAGATGAGCCCGGGCCTGGACGCGCTGGCGCTGCCCGGGTGGCGCGTGGTCAAGCGTCCGAGGCCCCCGCGCAAATCCATGTCCGAGTGCAACCTGGTACGGCGACGTCCGAGGGCCGGCCCTCCACCCCCCCCCCCCACCGGCGCAGCGAGCGGAGCTGCGACACGCAGCGCGAGGGCAAGGCAGAGGGGGAAGGGTGCAAACGGGACGGGGGGGGGGGGAAAAAATAAATCTAAGCGGTCCTCAAATGGAACTGTAAACACCCCGCCCCGCCCCGGTTCGTGACGGTGTATCGTCAGAGAGTGCATGGGGTGTCAGTAGTTTTTTACGTGCCTGTTTGTCACCGCACCTGGTCACGTGATCCTATATCTGTGCTGACGTTGTGGTGCCTACATTCAATTTTTAGACATGCCACCAAATTTCTATTCTTTCAACTCCTTCAACTCTCGCCTCCCTTCGCTTTTTTTTATGTACGTTGAACTTCTTTCGCACCGTACGTAGCCAACCGTGCTAATTGGAGGTGCGGGGGAAGGGCAGCAAATTAAACACAAAAAGCAGTTCCAAAGAAATTCGTTTTCAACGTGGACGATTTAAAAGTGCAGAGCTCCAGTGACTTCCTAATATCTGAAGGAAGGTGCGTTCTGGACGACCGCAGAAGCGCATCTGAACACGCGCGTCTTTGTTCGACGGCTAGCCAAAAGCCGCCGCTGCTTCTGCGAGGCTGCCCTTAACCTCTGACCCCTGTGTGCCGTTGCCCGCCACCGCTGTGTGGCGTCTGCACCCGGTAGAAGTTCTTGGCCGACGGCCGAGGCCTGGGCAAGGGCGGCGTTCGGCAGCCCAAGCTGGCCGACCTCTCCCCTTCGGTGTTCGCCAAGACCAACCTTAAGTTCGTGGAGGGCCTGCTCAAGGAGTGCCGCACCAAGGTGAGAGAGAGAAATATATATTTTGTATATTGATTTATTTTACCAGGTAAGGCCCACGGAGCTCTGTAGCTCTCTTAAGTTCGGTGGTGGATATGCACGTGGCCTGTATAATCCAGCACTGGATTATACAGGTCACGCACATGTTGTGAAACTCCCTTCCCATAAGCGTCGAAGTGTCATAGACTATGAAAACTAAACAGTTTTTATTTTTATTCTTAGCTCTTTCGGTAAAGTCACGTTGAAGGGAAACAATAAATAATAAAATATATATAAAACAATAAAAATTCTCACGACGTTTCGACCATAACACAAACGTCGTCATTAGGTGTGAAAAAGCGTTTGTGTTATGGTCGAAACGTCGTGAGAATTTTTATTGTTTTATATATTTTATTATTTTTATTGTTTCCCTTTAACGTGACTTTACCGAAAGAGCTAAGAATATGAATTACTGCAGTCACGAAAGCTTTAAATCAAAATTTAGTTTTTATTTATTTTTACCAGGTGAGGCCCGCTGAGCTATGTAGGTAGCTCTTTCTCAGAAGCGACTTGGCCATCAGAAATGATAGCTCATCGAAGTGGCTCATCATCATCACGTGGAAATGTATAGCAGCCAAATACTCTAAACGCGCGACGTTCATTCTAAACGTGGAGGGAAACACCGAAGGACACCGGAGAAAAATCCACGCGACCATGGCGAGGACACGCAAACTCCAAATATACAGCGGCAGCAGCAGGCGTCAGGGTTGGGATCGAACCCACGACCTCCTGTACACCAGGCGAGGTTTGTAACGTCTCGCCAACCCGGGTGCCCCAACCGCTGTGTGGATTAACATCCCGAGCGTTCACAGACGTAAGTGAACTTCTCGTTCGCGCCACTGCTGACAGTGCGGCCTCCACGAGAGGAAGCCCTCCGGAGCCCCTCCCACGTGGTAATCGGCCGATTCCTCCACATTGGCGAGACGTTTCGGAAGGGGCGGGAGTACCGACGCTTTACCCCACCACGCACGGCCGTCAGATCGACTGAACGAGGGCCGAACGGCACCTTGGGCGCGTACCTTTTTGCGGGCCACACGTCAACGCGCGCACCTTGACGCTATCCAAACAACAAAGCAACGAACCATCCCCGTAACGTCCGAGCATAATGAGACCTTGGCGTTGGCGGATGTGACCGAGCGTGCTAAAGTTATTAGCACGGTGTTGCCGGGTTGAAGATGAGATCCCCCCCCCCTCTCGCACCCGATTGGTGGGGCTAGGATGCTGGCAGTCACGGGTGGTTATCGTTTTGCGGGCCGTTTTGAAGTAGTGGCCACGGGCAGGTCGAATGCGAATTGATGGATCCTGCACGAATAGCCGTGACTCCCTGTAGCAGGGCTACAAAGTGGCCAGTAGGTGGCAGCGCAGCATTAGGTTGCTGACGTGTGTGTGTTGTGTGTGGTGTGTGTTGTGTGGTGTGTGTTGTGTGGTGTGTGTTGTGTGGTGTGTGGTGTGTGTTGTGTGGTGTGTGTTGTGTGTGTTGTGTGTTGTGTGGTGTGTGTTGTGTGGTGTGTGGTGTGTGTGGTGTGTGGTGTGTGTTGTGTGTTGTGTTGTGTGGTGTGTGGAATTTACATTCGTATGGGCAACGGTAGTGAAACGGTTAGTGCGCTGCGCTGCTAACCCGGTCAGTTCCAGTTCGAGTTCGATCCCCGTACACGGCCTACACCAGTGGCGATTTATCCGGGTACTCAAATGAGTACCCGGTGCGGTGCGTAAACATCGCAATCTGGGGAGACACGGGCGGCCTGGCGTGCTGCTGGGCCATCCACTCCCTCGTGTGCCGTGCCCGGCCTTCATCGGCGCTCGCCAGCAGCACTTTCCCCTGCAGCCTGTTCGAGCCTACACGGGGGAACTTTGCCTTTTTTGTCCGCGCGCCAGACCAAGCGCATGCTGGTGGAGAAGATGGGCCAGGAGGCCGTGGAGCTGGGCCACGGCGAGGTGACGCTCACCGGCGTCGAGGAGAACACGCTCATCGCCAGCCTCTGTGACCTCCTCGAGCGAATCTGGTCACACGGGCTCCTGGCCAAGCAGGTGGGGGTTCTGCGCTGGACGTCTGGCCGGGCGGCCCACGAGTGGAGGGCTGAGCTTTCCTGGGCGTTTGAATCCCGAGCGAGCTCCCCCCGAGATCAGCGGTCGTGTGGAGGATTGCCGTTGCGGTGGGGTTAGAGCGAGCCCCATAACGATGTTTGCTTGCACCCGGAAATTTGGCGAAGTGACGAGAATCGTGGTCGCGATTTTAGTAAAGATTTGAATATTCCTCCTCTTGTTTTGTGCTGCCTAAGTTGCATAATTCTAATTTTTCATGTATTTTTCATCGTATTAGTGTGACGGAAACTCACTTCTTTAAAACCGCTTGTTGTGTTTAGTTTGTTGTCCTTCCCCCGCACCTCCGATGAGCCACGGTTAGCTGCGTACGCTGCGAAAGAAGTTCATCATCCGTGCATGCTTGTAAACGTATTGCGTGTACAGTTTACACGATTAATGGACAATCGATGACGGGCGCCGCTCGCTTCACAGCGCTTGCCCCAAAATTCTGTCAAGGCTACACCGGTGGTGGGGGAGGCGAGCGGCGGCGGTTGGGGGGGGGGGTATCTCTATCTCTGTTGTTGGTCTGCGCTAACAGGGAAAGTCTGCGCTGTGGTCCCACCTGCTGAGCTGCCAGGAGAAGGAGGAGAAGAAGGAGGTCGCGTTTGAGAGCGCCGTCCCTCTGGGTACGTGGCCCCACGGCTTAAGCTCCCAGAACACCCGGGGGGGGGGGGGGGGGGGGGGGGGGGGGGGGGGAGGGGGGGGGGGGCACGCCGTCCGCACGGGGCAGCGGGGAGCGAGCGTCCCCTGAGAACGCAGCAGAGGATCAACGAGCGAGGTGCTGGGCACAGCCGCCGTAGACAGCAGCAAGGTGCAAAGCGCGATAGGGGGAGCCGAGCGGTGAACCGCAGGGTCTGTCGATGGAGTCTATGCCACTATATTCTTGTGGTCTCCTGGAAGAATTCTAACCACGTGGCCACGTGATGCTTGGTTTCAGAAATATATCAGAAGTCTTCTTTTCAAACCAGTTGATATATATTATTATTTTATTGTTTCCCTTCAACGTGACTTTACCGAAAGAGCTAAGAATATGAATTACTGCAGTCACGAAAGCTTTAAATCAAAATTCAGTTGAAAATTCTTAAACAAAAAAATGTAAGTCAGCTTCTAACACAGTCTTTGCTTCTTTCGGTAAAGTCACGTAGGTAGAACAAATAAATGATAAGTGAGGACGTTTCGATCGCAACACAAGCAATCGTCATCAGGTAGGGAGATACAGCCGTAGAACTGCTGAACAAGAAAGGGCTGTTGCAACAAGATGTTCTATAGATGTTTGAGGTGGGTGTCACCCAAGGGTGAGTAGGCGGGGTCTGAGATGCACCAAAGGAGGATTTGGCATGCTCATGCACACGAATATAATGGGAGATGAGCCCCGTCGTCGCACAAGAGCAACGTTGCTGCAAGCACGCAACAACAGCTGCGCTAAAGCAGGATTGGCATGTTAATGCAAACGAGTACAGCAGTTCTGTATCTTTCACTCTGATGACGATTGCTTGCGTTGCGATCGAAATGTCGTCACTTATGATCTTTTTTGTTGTACCCACGTTACTTTATCGAAAGAACCAAAGAATATGGATTCCTGCAGTCACGAAAGCTTCAAATCGAGATGCAGCTTCTAACACGTCCAATCTGGGTCGCAAACCCAATAAATGGGTACAAATTGTGAACGGACTGCACGGTGACACCAAGACGCGGGAAGATCTATCCGTACGCGAGGACCGCGCATAGGTCCATAGTTCCATTTATTTCCATTTATTTGGTATAGCCCCGTGAGCCATTCGACTCTTGAATCGGGTGCGACCGCAACAAACAAAAAAACTAAAACACGAACAAGAAAACATCTTAAAGTGACTATGTGCGACTGTGCAAACAGAAAATCGAGGAAAAAACATCAAAAATATTCCTGAGATAGCACCGTACACCAACGCTGTGTGCAAAAAATCGCCAGCGTGCGCAGAGAGCAGTAAAAACGTTCGCTTGACAAAAGTGGCATTGGCACCGCTGGGTGATCCATGACGATGGGGCTCCGGTCTATCTTCACGTCCGGCGTAGGCGCGGGGGGTCAAGGGAAGGAGTCGGCTTCGCTTGAAAACAACTGCTCCGACAAAACTCCGGATGAGCGCGTGTGTGGAGACCAGAGTTCTAGCCGCTTCAACGGAAACAGCGGTGGAGAACGTTTCTGCAACCGCCCCGGCCAATCCTGATGCCTCGCGTGGCACACAGCTCAGCCGTCTTCTTGCGTCCATTGTGGGGGGAAAAAATGTGGCAGCGGGCAGGCGTAGTGTCGGGACCCGCATGTGCCATGCCAGCCGTACTGAGCGCTTGCTAACAGCGCTGGCCCCCCAATACTGTCGTCTGTAAGGCTTCATTGGGGGGGGATCTTTATGTCGGAGGTTTGTTTCAGTTTCAGTTTTTTTTTTCAGTTTATTTATTTTGGTATAGCCCTGTGAGCCATTCGGCTCTTGAATCAGGTGCAACCGCAACAAACAAAAAAAGAAAAAAACACGAACAAGAAAAACGTCTTAAAGTGACTACGTGTGACTGTGAAAACAGAAAATCCATGAAAAAAACCAGCAAAATATTCCTGAAAAAAGCACCGTACACAAACGCTGCGTGCAAAAAATCCCAGTGGGATGCAAGTCAAACAACAACAACCACAAGAAAACTTAGATTAAGGCCATCAGTCTAACTCCGTACTGCAACAAAACAAACATGTCCAAACCAAAAAATAAAGCCATAATTGCAACGTAACAGTGATCACAGGGACTGTGACCGAATTTTTACAATAAACTACATAAATAACATGTAACACCAAATCCTAGAGCCATAGCTGGCTGCTTGAGTTACTCCACAACAACAGAAGCATCAGTCGGAGTATCAAATTTTTCAATGCACCTTTAAGATCAGCACGCTAAATCAAAATACAGATAATACTTTGCAGCGTCATCCGGAGCAAAACATTTTATTTTATTTTACGCCAATGAATAGCAGTGGCAGCTAGGGGTGTACAACTCCTCTAGAGCAGTTTTGAGAGACGATCTCATTGGTAGCGATGTAAGTTGCAGTTTATTGGCAATAGCATTCCAGACCCTGGGGGCATCAATAGCAAAGGCCCTTCCTCCAGTTTTTGTACGGCAATAGGGAATGTGAAGCTGGTAGATGAGCGAAGACATGAGGTCAAATTTGTTCTTTGAAACAGAGAGGAGATCCAGCAGGTAGTCTGCGGATTTTTTTGTAAGTACATCGTGAATAAATAAGATCTGGTGCACAAGCCGTCGAACATTAAGAGATGTTTAGATTGACCCAATGTAGTTAAGTGAATGTCTGTGCGTGTTGTGCGTGCATGTGCGTGCGTGTGTGTACGTGGGGAGCGGAAGTGTGGATCTTAGCGAGCTGCACAATGAACCCGGTGACCCGAATTCGATTCCTTCTCACGGCCAACACCAGTGGCGATTATTTGAACCGTTCCTGGGCCTCAAATGATTACCTGGTGCAGTGTCTAAACATCGCCACTAGGGAGATGAGCGCGGCCGGGCGTGGTGCTGCCCCCCCCACCCCCTCGTCTACCGTGCTCGCCTTAATAGATGCTCGCTAACAGCACAGGAGGATTTTTATGTTTGTAAGCAGTTCACGTAAAGCACGCATCCACGAGAGATTCTGTGTGGACCAAGCTTGCAATTCCAAAATAATTGAAATCATTAGCCTGAATTGCAAAAAACGATTAGTCATTACAGGGGTGATCTACTAAAAGTGTTTTTCTGTATCTGTGTGTGTTTACCTTTTGCTGTATCTGCGTGTGAATGTGTGTATCTGAAGCTGTGTCTGTAAGCACCCCCATATCGTTATGTAAGTACGAGGGATATGTTCCCAAGTTTTGTATAAATCCAAAAAGTCGGGGATTGGGATACGAAATTTCAGATAGTCCAAAAATTTTAATTAAAATTTTTAATTAATCCAAAAGTATGACATCACAGAAACGACAGCACTTACAATTCATCACAGCCGGGCTTTTCCCGACAGGAGTGGCTGACGTCACTTTTGTGAACACAAAGCGACGTTAAATTGTTGCGTAGTGCAAAAATCTGAAATGTGTTAGTTTTGATCGAAAGTGCCTTCCTAAATGTGCGCATGCCAGTGTGTCTATTCATGTGTGCGTGTATGTATGTGCGGGACGTGGCAGTTGTAGCGGTTTCGCACGCCTCTAGGTCGAATCGCCACTTGGGAGACAAAGGCGGCCGGGCGTGGTGCTGGCCACCCACCCCCTCGTGTACCGTGCCGGCCTTCATAGGTGTTCGCTAACAACACATTCCCCAGCAGTCTGTTAAAGCTATACGGGGGGATCTTTGTGTGTGTGTGTGTGAATCTGTGCATGTGTGTACCCCGTTCACTTCTGCTCTGATTCTGCCAAACCTGCGATTAAATTTGCTGCTGCAGATGCCACCATCCTGAGCTGTGATTGGTGGGTTTTCCCAGGGATCGCGGCCAATCAGGAGAGGAGACGGTCCGACGGGGGCCTCATTATGCCCCCACTCAAAGCCTCTCTAACACAAGACATGAGGTGAAGCCCCACATCCCCCCCCCTCTCCACCCCCCCCCCCCCCCCGTGGCCACAATGCACCACGCCAACATAGTTCACATGACCCTCGCAACGAGCTGTCTGTCGCACATTTGCAGCTGAATGTTCAATTCGGAGCGCTAATCCAGCACAGCCGATCTAGCGCATGCCTCTGTGGTCAAGCCTGGCGAGAGGCTGACCGAGGTAGTGGAACTACACCCTGGCCTCAATTTCACGTGAGCCCCAAATTCGTTGAACTTTTGTTTACGAAACCAAACTATGTTTTATTTTACCAGGTAAGGCCCACTGAGCTATACAGTTATTTTTTCAGAAGCGACCTGGCTATCACAAATGATAGCTCAGCGAAGTGGCTTATCATCATCACGTGGAAATGTATAGCAGCCAAATACTCTAAACGCACGTTTTTAAATGTGGAGGCTATAACTGGAGGACACGGAGAAAAATCCACGCGACCACGGGGAGAGGGAGACACGCAAACTCCAAATATACAGCAGCAGGCGTCAGGGTCGGCATCGAACCCACAACCTCCCGCATACCAGGCGAGGGAGTTAACATCTCGCCACTGTGGAGCCCCATACAGAAGAGGATACGGGCACCCCAGCCAATATCACTTGCCAGTGCGCCACGCTTCTCTCGATGGGTCTGCGGCGGGAGGCGTTCAGCGCGCTCGTTTTACAGGACGAGAGCCCATTTGGGTTCGGTATTTGGATTGCGCCGGAGCGAACCAAACGCGGGGCAGAAAGAGACGCGCAGACAAAGATGCCCCGCGTAGCCTTAACAGGCTGCAGCAGCAAGTGCTGTTAGCAGAGCAGCTATGAAGGCCGCCACGGCACGCTAGGGAGTGGGTGGCCAGCACCACGCCCGGCCACCTTTGTCTCCCAATTAGCAATGTTTACACACTGCACCAGGTACTTACTTAAAGGTTGAGTCGACCCAGTTCAGACAATCGTCACCGGTGTTGGCCGTGAAAGGAGAGTTGAACCTGGGTTGCCGAGTTTATAGCGCAGTGCGCCAACCACTGCGTCACTGCTCTCCGCACATAGACATACAGAGATAAAGATTCCCTGTATAGCCTTTAGCAGACTGTTGGGGCACCTATCAAGGCCGGCATGGCATACGAGGGGGTGAGTGGCCAGCACCACGCCCGACCGCCTTTGTGTCCCTTGTAGCGAAGTTCACACACCACACCAGGTACTCATTTGAGGCTGAGTCGACCTAGGGGATGCCCAGGACCAGTTCAGATAATCGTCACTGGTGTTGGCCGTGAGCGGGAATCGAATTCGTGTTGAATGTGTTCGCAACGCAGCGTAGCGCTAACCGCTGCGCTATAACAGCAACAGCCGCCATTCGCCACTAAGTGGCGGTGACGTCACCACGACACTTGTGCCAGGCTACGTGCACCTTGAGGCTACATTACGCGCACACACTCGCCTACACAGCACCACCTGGCCAGCTCTCGTGCTGGGAAAGGGCGCAAGTTCAGTTTCGCGGCAGGGGGGTCAACTAGGCCTCGGTAAGGTAAAAGGTAAAAACAACGAGCCTACCTTTTACCCTACCTTTTACCCTTACCCCATACAAATTACCCGATTACAGGGTAATTACTGGGGTACTACTACACATGAAAAAGGTTTATAGCAGGTAAACGCTAGGTAGAGCGCTTTATTCATCTATAGAATACTCTCGATGAGTCCAATTTTACACGCTTGTTGTCGTTGTATCCTCAAATCTTGTAACTAAATTTTAACCCACTTCCCAATGTGGTATCGACTGCAAACTTGGTATACTTATGTTATACTGATGACAATACTATATTCTATCATTAAAAATAAAAAAAAATTTAACATTTTTTTATGTTATGTTTCGGCTTGGGTCTAATTGTCCATGCTCAACTGACGTTGGCTGTAATTGGCCACGGTCCCTTGCGTTTTGGCAAGCTTCGGGGCCACTTCCTGGAGTCGTGGAGTTCTGACATTACTTGTACGGTACATTTCATAACAGCGTCTTTTAATAAAAAAATTTTTTATTACTTATTAAATGGAAGCCACGGACTGCGCCACGGTGCTTTTAGCGGTAAACAAGGCACCGTATTTACCGGGTTAATACTTCACGCTACCTTTACCCTACCGGGTAATTCTTCCGAGCTACCTTTACCCTACTACCCTTTACCTCTTGGCATGTCGACACCTTTACCCTTTTACCCGGTAAAAAGGGTAAATTACCTTGCCTTGCCGAGGCCTAGGGTCAACTCGCGCAGGAGGTGTGACCACTGCTCGCCCCATCGTTTTGACAGGCACATTCAGAACATCGCGGAGATTCGCACGGACGTGGGGCGAGCGCGTGCCTGGGTCCGCCTCTCCATGGAGAAGAAGCTGCTCTCCCGGCACCTGAAGCAGCTGCTGTCGGATGAGGACCTCTCAGGGTGAGGAACGTAATTCGTCGCCGTCATCATAAGCATCATCACCGTCATCGTCACCGTCGCCATTACCATCGTCGTCATCATCACCGTCATCGGGGCGGTGACGCACCCCCAGCCAAAGGCTATCGTTGCCGTTTACGTGGCAGAGGTTCGCGGTTCCAGCTTAAGTGGCCACCCTCGATACCGCCGCTGGGGATCCGAGGGGCCCGTTAGACACGCGCCGCCCTTCGCCCACAGCGGGTGGTAAACGGCTATAAAGGCCCCCGCGACATCGTTAAAAAAATAGCGGTGCGATTATTAACTCGTGGAGTACTTCATAATTTCCCGTGTGCAAGTCGCTGAGTCTCGGAACTCGCAAGCGGCTCAGCGTTGATTTTACTTAAAGAGGCATGGCGCCGTTGTTTGTAAAGACACTGTACTCACGGCAGAGAACCGTAGCGACACGACCGCACTCTATGATAGCTGGCGTCAAACTGTGCCACACATCCTGCCACATGGCCTTGTGGGAGCTTCGGTACTGATAAAGTTATTTTATTTTCGTTTTTCTTCTGATTCCTTTCCGATGACGTACATACATGTACGTGTACATTATCGGAACGGGAAAGGGTAACTTTAGAAGCAACATGGCGACATTGCCCCTCACTGGCAAGCTTGTGCTTGCTTGCAGGCCAGTGCTGCGTTCATCTTGTGGCTCACAGGGACAGCTGCCACCGGGGGTGTCCCCTGCCGGCGTCACGGTCCAAATTTGCCAAATACGATAAATTATTCATAATAAAGGTTTTTGGGTTAGATCGCGTTATTTATAAATGTGTCGTAACCCTCCACCGCCCGACACGGCCAATCGGCAAAAAAAGTGTCACGTTGACAAAAGACAAATAATTCACTACTTTAGCCCACCGGTGTGTTGAAGAGTGAATCCACAACATTTACAGTTTGAGTACGACGTTTCGCTGGTAATTACATCCAGCATCATCGGGCGATTCGCCACAATGGTAAAGCCCTCGCTTGCTCCCGGTTTTAAATAGAGCAGCAGGGTGATGTCACCCAGCAAACATCGCCCACCCCTGCTGTGAAACTGCTGCAGATGAACACGCCACGCGTGAAACGTCCCGCCTTCACGTTAGCCTCGTGCTGCCATGGCGACACTGGTGAATACAACCGTGCCAAGGACGTGTCCGGCTGAACGGGGTGGGAGGGAGGAAAACTTGCCATTGTATCTCTGTCCCAGCCGCCTCTACAAGCCGTACGCCTTCCTGCACATGGAGGACGAGAAGGAGCAGTTCCTGTACCACCTGCTCACGCTCAACGCCGTTGACTACTACTGCTTTACCAACGCGTTCTCCACCGTCGGTAGGCAGCTCTCCCCGCCGGCATTGCCGGCCGCCGCCGCGCCGACGACACACGAGCAGCCGAGCACGGCGAGCGTGCGGTCCGCGTGGCCGGGCGCTCCGGAGAGAGATGTAAAACTTTACATCCTTACAAAGACGGTCACTGCATCGCGCGTTTTCAGACGCGCTTCTGCGGCCACCGAAATGCTCCTCCTTCTGATATTAGGAAGCCACTGAAGCCATGCGCTTTGAAATCATCTAGATTGAAAACTGATTTCTTTATGGAACTGCTTTTTGCGTTCAGTTTTGTTGTCCTCTCACCCGCACGTCCGATTGGCACGGTTGCATACGTACGGTGCGAAAGAAGTTCAACATACATACATTGTCCGTGACGACCTCTTGACCTTTGACAGTATATAATAACACCACAATGAATTACACAGGCACGCTCGGGCAGAATACCTCCACGGTCTATACAGATAAGCATAGCAGTAGTAGTAATCGCTAACCAATCAATGGGCCCTTTTGAAGTTCAACATACATACATGCATACAAAGCAAATGCGCAGCACGATTTTTTGTTCCCGTAAATTTGTAATTTTTCAACGTTTTTTTTTTAATATTTGGTTTCGCAGCTCTAATCGAATCTGTCACTCACACCCTCCCCTGCCCCTGTCTCCCCCACCCACCCACCCACTTCTCGACCCACCCACCCACGCTCCCACCCACCCACCCACCGCCCTCCACGCGCGTGCGCTGCAGTGATGCGCTACCGCGTGCTCATCGTGCCGAGCCGCAAGGTGGGGCCCTCCGTGACGACGGCAAACCCGTGGGTGTGCGTGGGCGGTGACCTGGGCGACACGGGCGTCCTGCTCATCCCCCGCAGCTCTCTGGAGCTCTCCTTTGAGGTGCGGCCCCCGCTCGGTGCGGCCCCCGCTCGGTGCGGCGTGACCAATCGCGATCGGCGCTCGCCCCAACGGCGCTCGCCCCGACGGTCCCTAAGCAATATATAAAGAGGCGAACGTTTGTTAAACGCGATTTCGTCTCATTGACGCAAATATTTTGATTCTGAACCCAGCAACCTGAGTTCAGAATGACAATATTTACTTACACCTGGAGGAATCCGATGAGCTATAAAGCTCTTTTTTACAGGTGTCCAGCAGGCGCGAGTCAGAAAAGTTCCAAACAACACAAAAACACGATAGGAGTGCAAAGTGTCGGGAAGCTAAACAAATCACTTCACAAATATTTGTACAAATGCAACTATAACATTCTCAATCCGTGAAGCCCACCGAGCCATTAGCTTCTTTTTTCAGAATCGACCTGGCCACAAATGACACCCAAACGCGGTGGCCCGTCATGCAGACGTGTGTTTCTGACGTGTTTCTAAACCGCGGTGCGCGTGTCGACCCGCGATTGGTTAACATAGCGGAAACGAGCGACGGATGAGCCCCGTTGCGCTGCTGCTTATTATCTGCTCACTTAACTCGTTGACGCCCAAGCCAGGCGGCGGCGTCGCCCTTCCCGGACCGCCGCGAGAGTTTTGCCCGCTGGCACCGACTGGCGTGGACGGCATCGGCTTGTCTCGCACCGCAGCTGCGGTTGGGGCTGTCGCATTGGCGAGGTGTTAACTACCTCGCCTGGTGTACAGGAGGTCGTGGGTTCGATCCGGACCCTGACGCCTGCTGCTGCTGTATATTTGGAGTTTGTACGTTCCCCAACGTGGTCGCGTTGATTTTTCCTTCGGGTCCTCCGGTGTTTCGCTCCGCACTTAGAAATCAAGGAGCGTTTGTTCACGTGACAAACCTCACCAATTGGCTGCTGTGTCGGTTGGTGGTGGGTTAACAAGGCATTTATATTTACACAGTGTAACCCAAAAAAAACATTATCCAACTGTACTTCGGTATATAGCTCAGTGGGCCTTACCTGGTAAAATAAAACATTGTTTAGTCCCCACAACTGTGCGAGGTTGCTGCGCACTGACCCGTTTCTCCCCCCGCCCCCCGTCCCAGTGCGTGAACTTAGGCCGCCTCACCACGGTGCAAATCGGCCACGACAACGCGGGGCTGCTCACCAAGTGGCTGGTGGAGTGCGTCATGGTGCGGAACGAGATCACGGGGCACCTGTACAGGTGAGCTCGTCTGGCGGCACGGCCCCCAGGATATACCCCCACCCCCCCAACAACAACAACAACAACAACAACCGCCATTCACCCCTAAGTGGCGGTGATGCCACCACGGCGCTTGTGCCAGGCTATGTGCACGTTGAGGCCACGTGAAGTGTCGAACGCCCGCTGGCAGGAGGCTACGGGGCAGACCCAGGTGCCACGGGTCGACTCGCTGAGATGAGTGGCCAATGCCCCACCGCCACCCCCACCACGTAATTCGGCAAGGCCAGAGCCCCATGTATCGAAGGGTTTACTGAAACTTGAAACAAATCTCTCGTTTCAAATGGGGCGTGATGTGCCCATGTTTTCGAACCGAGGCATATTTCGCAGCATTGACGTTCAAACGTTTTTGTCGTTGCCAAAACAATTGACGAATGTGCGTGACTGACTGCCGAAACACAAATGATGCCAGAACGTAACGGATCGTGACGACGACGACGACGACGACGACTTGAAGGGTCGACTTCCCCCGTGGCGGTGCCGCCCGCCAGGTTCCCGTGCGGCCGCTGGATTGGCCGCGGCGTGGACGACGGAAGCCTCGAGCGCATCCTGGTGGGCGAGGTGGTGACGGCGGCCGCGGCTGCGGCCGCGGCGGCGGCGGCGGGGGGCGGCGGGGGCGGCGGGGGCGGCGGGGGTCGGGCCTGCGGGAGGGCCGCGGGGGCCGCCCGGGGGGACGAGCGGCACCGCGCGAGCCGCGGGGCGGCGCCCGGCGCTCGCTCGCCGGCGCTCGCCCGCCGGGGCCCCGCATCGTCCGCTGGCTCCGCCGCAGCCTGCGCCAACGCGGCCGCCAACGGGGCCGGCGGCGCCAGTGAGTGCGGCGGAGGGCAACAGTGGGTGGGGGGGGGGGGGGGGGGGGGGGTGGGGGGGGGAGTGGGTGCAGCTGGGAGAGTGAGTGTGTGCAGCTGGGAGAGTGAGTGTGTGCAGCTGGGAGCGTGAGTGTTGTGCAGCTGGGAGAGTGAGTGTGTGCAGCTGGGAGAGTGAGTGTGTGCAGCTGGGAGAGTGAGTGTTGTGCAGCTGGGAGAGTGAGTGTGTGCAGCTGGGAGAGTGAGTGTGTGCAGCTGGGAGAGTGAGTGGGTGCAGCTGGGAGCGTGAGTGTTGTGCAGCTGGGAGAGTGAGTGGGTGCAGCTGGGAGAGTGAGTGTGTGCAGCTGGGAGCGTGAGTGGGTGCAGCTGGGAGCGTGAGTGTGTGCAGCTGGGAGCGTGAGTGTGTGCAGCTGGGAGCGTGAGTGAGTGTAGCTGGGAGCGTGAGTGTGTGCAGCTGGGAGTGTGTGCAGCTGGGAGCGTGAGTGTGTGCAGCTGGGAGAGTGAGTGTGTGCAGCTGGGAGCGTGAGTGTGTGCAGCTGGGAGCGCGGGGAGTGAGTGTAGCTGGGAGCGTGAGTGTGTGCAGCTGGGAGAGTGAGTGGGTGCAGCTGGGAGAGTGAGTGTGTGCAGCTGGGAGCGTGAGTGGGTGCAGCTGGGAGCGTGAGTGTGTGCAGCTGGGAGCGTGAGTGTGTGCAGCTGGGAGCGTGAGTGAGTGTAGCTGGGAGCGTGAGTGTGTGCAGCTGGGAGTGTGTGCAGCTGGGAGCGTGAGTGTGTGCAGCTGGGAGAGTGAGTGTGTGCAGCTGGGAGCGTGAGTGTGTGCAGCTGGGAGCGCGGGGAGTGAGTGCAGCGAGGAGGCCCAAGGGGGTGCAGCAGGGGGCATGAGTGGGTGTCCTCCACGCACTCTGCGCGCAAAATACTCAGCGGGAGGTCGCTCCCTCTCTTCTGTTGCCCCCAATGTTTGGAACTCCCTTCCCCCACACATCCGTGCCGTCGATTCTCTTCCACCGGTCTTAAGTCTTTCTGCCATGTTCTCTACAAGACGAATATGCCCACTGTTTCTGTGCAATGCCACAAATGCATGTATTAAAGGTAGTTAACAGCCTTATTTAAAGAAAGAACGAAAGAAGAAAGTAAAACGGAAAGCTTTTTAACACGTTCGTGAAGATGAGCGTCTTCACGAACGTACCGGGGCTGGTGCAGTGGAGAGTAGCGGTGCTCCAGTAGGTGATGCTGTGACCGATGCTGCCCCGCGCTTGTGTTTGTTGTCAGTACTGCTGCTGCACCTCAGGCGGGATCGCTGCCCAACGTTGCTGCCCCAGACTCACGATTAGCTCACAGCGCGTTTCGCACACACCGTGGCCAACGCGCCAAAGCGCGCTGTTTTAACAATAGTGCTCGTGTGACCAAAAGGAAGTGTAAATTAATCTAACGCGATATATTTATTTTAATCGCACTACTTAAACGGCGACCAGTACACCTCGTGGCGAGATGTTAACTCCCTCGCGTGGTACGCAGGAGGTCGTGAGTTCGACTGCGACACTGACGCCTGCTGTATTTGGAGTTTGCGTGTCTCTCTCCCTGTAGTCGTGTGGAATTTTCCTCCGGGTCCTCCGGTTTTTCACTCCAAGTTTATCGACGTGCGTTTCGAGTTATTTGGCTGCTATACATTTCCACACGATGATAAGCCACTTCGTTGGGCTAGGATGTGTGGCCAGGTCGCTTCTGAAAAAGAGCTACGTAGCTCAGGTGGGCCTTATCTGGTCAAATGAAAATAATTTAGCTGTAACAGTTTATCACACTTGGACACTTACGGGCAGGGGGTTTAACAAGATTTGCGCGATCCGCCAATGCTCGCTCCCTCCGCACTGCTGGATTTAGACTTTGTATGGAATTGCGACTGTCAATAGGATGGGTTCTGACTCTCTTGACCAGACCTCGAATTGCCTCTTCCTGCTCCATGCCCCCTGCCCCCGCCTCGCTTAGAGATGATCCCAGAGCAGATCCAGGAAGGGGTGGGTGAAGCCGTCAACAACCTGGTGAAGCATTTCCACAAGCCTGAGAAAGAGGTGAGGTCACGGGGCCCCCAGAGGCAGCAGCTCGACTGCGCTGGCAATGCTTGTGCGGGTGCGAGCGCTGCTGATGATTCTAGTGGTTCTCCGTAAGGTTAAACAGGGGCTACAAGGACTAAACTAACCTCCGTGTTGTTTATGGTTGCCTGTGGCGTTGTCGGAGACACAACTGGTTGAGAGGGGCACCACGGTGGCGAGATGTTAACTACCTCGTCTGGCATGCAGGAGGTCGTGGGTTTCATCCTGACCCTGATGCCTGCTGTATATTTGGAGTTTGCGCGTTCTCCCTGTGGTCTCATGGATTTTTGTCCAGGTCCTCCGGTTTTTCCTTTCACAATTTAGAATCAACGTGCATTTGCAGTATTTGGCTGCAATTTCCACGTGATAAGCCACTTTTGTTGAGCTATCATTTGTGGCCAGGTCGCTTTTGGAAAAGAGCTCTATAGCTCAGTGGGCCTTACCTGGTAAAATAAAACTACTTTATAGTTTAAAATAAATCAATAAAAACACAAATTTGTCTCATGGCCTCCTGTTTGGTGGAACTCTCCAGCAACACCACCTGGGGCTCTGTCCTCCCGCGGTCTTCCATCCACGAGCCTGCACCGCTCAACAAAGTGTCGCTGTGCACCCAGCCTGGCTAAGCCACTGGGCGGTGACTGTGACAGCCTTTCCTGCTCCAGCTGTTGTTGTGTGGGGAGCGGTGGCACAGCGGTTAGTGCGCTGCACTACAAACCCAGTGACCCGAGTTCGCTTCCCGCTCACGGCCAACATCCAGTGACGATTATCTGAACCGGTCCTGGGCCTCCTCCCCTACGGGGTGGATCTTTGTCTTTTTTACGCTGGCAGCGTGGGTCCCTGACGCTGCTGCTGTGTGGAGAGGGAGGCCTGGTGTGGGCGCTGGGGCACGTGTTCCAGCACGGCCTACGCTCCCCACGCCTCTTCCAGAAGCCTGTCTTCGTCTGGGACTTTGTGGGTGAGTGCTCAGTCGCGGGTAACCCCTTTAACCAGCGGCCACATCCGTGCTGGTGCCACGCTGTGCCCAGGTCCTTCTTCCTCTTTCGCACGGCTGATGGTCGATGCAGGACAACAACCACAATTTCACATTGGGGTGGCCAAGCCAGACAAGCGCGCCCGTAGCGGAGTTTATCGCACGCACTGCCGGTCAGGTGAGGCGCCAGCTTGGCTCTTACGCCTGCGGAAGCCGAGTCGTGCCGCCGACGTCACGCAAAGCGCGTTGAGGTGGCGCGATGAACGGCGCTCGTGTGAGCCGCGTGACGACTGGCGCCGGCGCGCAAATGACTTCGTCGTTCGCCTCACCCCTCTGGGGGGCCCTTGCTTGACCCCGAGTTTCGGTTCGGACGTGCTGTGAGGGAAGTCGCCCAGACTGCGAGGGTTCGTGCTCGCCCGTCTCTGCTGCGCCCTGGGGGAAAAAGGGGTAGACGTGTATCCTGCGTCGGCTCGGTCCTTGGCTTCCTCTTTCTGTCTGCCCATGTGAGCCTCTAATCTGTGGCCAAAAGGTCAGAGTTCAAATGGTTTGCACTGCTCAAACGAGCATTGTGCAGTGCTCGACTCGTTCTGCGGTCCCAAGCCATGTTTTGGTGATTCCTTGTTCCCATGGCTAAGGCCGGTATCGCCATGGGGATGACCGCTGTTCACTTCCCATGCAATAATCAATCCCGTCTGCGCTCGCTCCAGCCGGCTCGCACTCTAGTCGGTGCGTTTGACGCCAACAAACGCCAACCTTGCAGGCCGAGTTCGCCTCCTGTCAGTCGGTAAAATGGGAGTATCCACTCTGTGGGAAGTCAAGAGGTTGGCCACTGCCACAACACTCCCATCATAAGACGACCGGTGATAACAAACTCTTGCATTGCAGTCGTGACGGCCAGGGTCCGATTTTTATTGATATTTATCCGTAGCAGCGATTCACGCATTGTTGTATGTATGCGGAACTTCTTTCGCACGGTACGGAGCCAACCGTGACAATGAGATGTGTGCGGGAGAAGGGCAACGAACTAAACGCAAAAAAGCAGTCATAAAGAAATGAGATTGAAATCTAGATTTAAAAGTGCGTGGCTCCAGTAGCTTCCGAAATTTGGTAGGAGGAGCATTCCAGACGGCCACAGATGCGCATCTGAAAGCGCGCGATGCAGCGATGCAGTATGAAGAGCATTCCAGACGGCCACAGAAGCGCATCTGAAAGCGCGCGATGCAGCGACGGTCTTTGTTCGATGGCCAGCAGCCAAAAGCCGCCGCGAGGATGACCGGAGTTCGTGGCTGCCGGAACTAAACCATCGCCCGGCGCTCCGCAGAGAGGGTGGCCTCGCACCTGGAGGAGAACGCGGAGGGCACGGCGGCCGCAACGGCGCTCCTCCGGCATGGCAGTGGCTCGGAGCGGCCGCTCCTGGCGGCGACCCCGGCCCCGCCGCTGCCCGCGCCGGAGCCGGACGCGGATCTCCGGCGGGGAGAGGGGCCGAGCCGGGAGGTGCAGGCGCGACGCGCCCTCTGCTCGCTCGTGCGCGCCATCAACGGGGCACCGCGACACATCGGCAAGGATGGCAAGTTCCAGCTGCTCGTGTGCTTCGGAGCCCGGTGAGGAGGTCTCGGGGGAGTGCGAGCGTGTGGGCACCGTTGCGCCGAGGGGCGTGCGGGTGAATTGAAGATGGGGCGCCTCGGTGGCGAGATGTTAACTGCCTCACCTGGTGTACAGGAGGTTGTCAGTTCGATCCCTGCCCTGACGCCTGCTGTATGTTTGGAGTTAGAATGTCTCTCTCACTGTGGTGGCGTGGATTTTTATCCGGGTCCTTGGGGTTTTCCGTCCGTGTTTAGAAACATGCATTGAGATTATTTAGATTATTTTGCTGTTTATAAATGTCCAAATGATAACCCACTTTTGTTGTGCGATCATTTGCCTGGTCGGATGGGAATGGTTTCGTTTTATTTCTGTGTTTTTGCGTGATTTATTTACCTTTCCTGCACTTGGCACTACTATCGTGTTTCTGTATCGTTTGTCCTTGTAACGTTCTTACCCGCCCCTACTGGACATCCGTGAAAAAGAGCTTCATAGCTCATCGGATTCCTCCAGTACGAATAAACATTCTCTCATTCTGATTCTTCCCCCTGTCCCCGCCCCGGCAGGGAGCAGCTGCTGCACAGCTGGCTGTCTCTGCTCGTCAGCTCCCCGGTGCTGCAGCAGATGTACGAGGAGGCCGCTCTGCTGCGCAACGCGAGGCTGGTGAGCGACCTGGAGCGGCTCCTGCAGGCCCTGCTCGGCTTCCCCATCAGCCTGGAGTCGTCGCTCGTCAAGGGCATCGACACGTGACCTCCGCCGGACGTCGCCGCGTGACCCCGGGCCCCGCCAGCGTCGACCTCCGACCAATCGCGTGACGACGTCGACCGCGGGTGTCCCGGGAAGGAGCCGTCGCTCGTCAAGGGCATCGCGACGGGTGAGCTCGCCGCGTGACCCTGGCCGCGCCGGGCCCGCCAGCGTTGACCTCCGACCGCGACGACGACGACGACGATTACGACGAAGGGTGTCCCGGAGGAATCGCCATCGTCGCCGCTGCCGTTCCTCTGCCGTCTTCGACACCGGCGGTCCAAGTGCGTGGACCTCTGTCAATCCGCTGGAGCTGTCCGATCGTAAACCTCAACGTTTGTCTGCAAGTCTCTCCCCCCCACCCCCACCCCCACGTCCGAACTGCTCTAACGCCAGTCTTTGTTGAGGACTGTCCAGGGTTGAGGACTGTCATCCGTCAGGTCATCTGATGAGTTCATCAGTAGACGACGGAGTATCTTCAAGTTGTCTCCACCCCCGTGCCGTCTTGTTTTCAACTCGCCTCCGTGTATTTGCTGTCCTCAACACCAGCGTTGGTTCGTGAGCATCGCCCACGCCCCCCCCCACCTCCCCCCCTTCTTTCCCGTTCGTATCTGTGACCTCTTAAGTCATTGCCGATCCAAGACTTAAACTGAATGACCAACAGGACCAACTGTCCTCACCAGCAGACCTATAAGTGCCCTCCAGTCATCATCCCAACTCCGATACGGTCTTCAGTGTCAGCTGTGGTTCATGATCCCCAAAGTGTAAGGCCTGTGATCAGCTTCGGTTGACGTCAAAGATAGAGTAAGTCCTCGTTTAACGTGGTAGATTAAAGTGCCGCGTTGAGCAACAACAAAAAAAACGCGGAAACCAAAACAGTTTCCCCACAAATAAAGTAACTATAAAGTTTGACGAGATACGATGCGCTACTGCTACTACTCGCAACGCAGTAAATTGGCGGGACAAGTAACTGAGGGAAGGAAAACGTGTTGTGTGAACACGCGTTAAGCGAGGACTTACAATGTGCTCTTCAAGCCTACTTCGCCCATACGTTGCCTTCAACGATAACTTCATAATCTCTCAGTGTTAAAGCTTGTGTTCTCTGAGCCCGCTGGCAATAGATTCAAGATTACTTTTCAAGTCATCGTTGCTGATTTGCTTTCGTGACAGCGATGCGTCACGTCGGCGAATCGAACGCCAAATGGACTCTTTCCGAGCTACCCAACTTGACCCGCAGATCGATTGAGTGCCCTCGAGTCATCGCGCCACCGCTCGTTTTATCAACCTTGGTGCTTTGATCTTCAAGAGGTTAACCCCCCCACGACACCGTCAAACAACTCGGTTTGCCCACACGGGTCGGAGTGTCTTCACTTCAACGTCAATTTCCAATCGCCCGTCTGCAACTGTCCAGATCTGCTCGGCCTCCTGATTTCACCGGCAGATAGATAAGTGCTCTCAAATCGTCTACGCTCCCTTCGCTGTCACCATTGCCAACCCGTGGTTCACGATCACCAAAGAGTAAGGTCACGTGACTTGACTTGCTAATACACTTTAACCTGCTCACTAGCAGGGCAATGCGCGTTTCCGTGTCGTCTCCGCACTGTGCACCCAGTAGACGTTCGTTTGTCACGTACGTACGTACGTGTGTCGAACTTCTTTCGCACCGTACGTTGCCAACGGTGCTAATGGGGGAGGTGCAAACTCAAGATACCAGACCTGCAGATTAAACGGCGAATCTTCACGTCAACTGCCATTGTGGTCGTCACGTCAAACAGCAACATTGTCCTGCCGCCCCCAGGCTACCTGCTCACCCACTTAACCTGTGCACAACCAGACGAACTGCAACCCCCGCTGATTATTTCCTCTTGCGGTGTTCAACGGTCTGGGTTTCGCCCTGGATAGTGCAAGCGTTTACCTATTGTTGTTTATAATCGCGGGACGGGACAAAAACAACGCGGTTTTGGCCTCTTGGACAATGGCGCTGCCTGTGAATCTGTGTCCGCGCCCGGCGCACTCGATAACGCGAGCGGGAACCCCTGCTGCCTCTACTCCCGCGGCAACCGTCCGCGTGTCGTCCGTCCAGTCCGTGAGCTTGTCATCTCGTGCGGCCCGTCTCGTGATCTCAGCTGTCGCACCAACCGCAACCGACATGTCTGCCGTGCGCAGTGACGACGTCTCCGTTGTCCAGAATGCTTTTAATGTGACCCCTTTTAGACGCTTGGGATGAGTGCCCCCCACCCACCCCCATGTTATAGAGAGCAGCGCTTGGCGGACTGCAAAACCCCATTTTTCGTAAACGTGAAAAAAAGAGCGGTTCTTTCGCCTTTTGGGCAGCGGGAGCTTTTCTATCCGAAAACGTTGCGAACGGTCTAATGGCGACCGTTGTGATTCCCGCAGTCACGCAAATCGATGGCTCCTCAAGTTTCCGCGTGAACCATTGCGCAGGGCGAGTGCAGGGTCTGTTCCCAAGACACGCGTGTTGTATGCTGTCGGTTTGTGAACCAAACGAAATCAAACCAAACCAGACGTCCCAGCGCGGAGCGGAAATATTTTTTTGTACGAACGTTTGCATTTCTCTCATCTTTCCTGTTTGTTTTGTACACAAATGAACGAGCGTACGCCATTCGTGATACAAATTCGATTTCCCGTGCAGGCGGCGGTGGCGGCGGCGGCGGCGGCGGCGTGCGCGGGATTTTTGGGCCTCTCGCACGGCGGCGTTTGCCCTGCGGGAGGGGAGTGGGAGGGGGGGGGATCTGCCTGCGTCTGGGTGAAATTGCAGCGTCACCCCCGACCCCCTTGCCCAGTTGCCAGATTCTTTCACGAGCTCGTTCCGTGCCCAAATCGTAACGGGAACGAGTAAAGGTACAGGCCTGCAATTTGCTCGCGTGAGGCACGGCCGGAAGAAGAAGAAGGGCCTCCACTGGAGATGGGACTCTCGAAGAAGCCTCTCTGTCGGGGGGGATTTTGACCGACTCTCCCATGCTGGCCGATCAGCTAAAGTGCGGGAGCACCCACACTTGTGGGAGTAGCCACACGTTTTACCCAACCACACGCTGCCCCTCGATCGGCTAACATCAATGAACCCGATTTAAAGGTTTCGTGACTGCAGGGATTCATATTCTTGGTTCTTTCGGTAAAGTCACGTAGAAGGGAAATAATAAAATAATAATAAAACATAAAATAAAATTCTCACGACGTTTCGGCCACAACGCAAGCAGCCGTCCTCAGGTGAAGAACAGAGCTGTCGGAAAGACGCTGTCTTTCCGTTGTGGCCGAAACGTCGTGAGAATTTTTTATTTTTTATTTTATTTCCCTTCTACGTGACTTTACCGAAAGAACCAAGAATATCAATGAACCCATTTATATTGCTGGGTAAATAGAGGACGGGGGGATTTAAGAATCTTTGCCCCATTGTTCCAACATGCATGTGCATACAAATGTATGCACATGTATGTTGAGGTTTCAGTGGGAAAGTTAGTGGCCATGTAGAGCATACAATGACGAAGTATGTATGTTGAACTTCTTTCGCACCATACGTAGCCAGCTGTGCTAATCGGAGGCGCGGGGGAAGGACAACAAACTAAATACAAAAAGCAGTTATAAAGAAATGAGTTTTCAATCTAGATTATTTAAAAGTGCATCCTAGCTCCAGTGGGTTCCTAACATCGGAAGGAAGAGCGTTCCAGACTTCTGCAGAAGAGCAACTAAAAGTGCCCGATGGGGTGACCGTCTTCGTCCGATGGCTGGCCAATAGCCGCTTCGAGGATGACCAAAGTTCGCGTGTTGGTTTACACTCCTTGACGAGAAAAACGAAACTTATAATAATTCCGTTTGTGATGCGAATTTGCCCGGAGAAGCATCACGATTTTCAGAAGGCTTGCAATGAGGTTCCTGTATTGGAGCACTTGTCAGATTTATGTATGATGTGGAAGGAACCTCTGTTGTTTCTTTTTACATGGAACCTCTTGAAGTGCAGGACATCCCGTCCGTTGCCATTGCAAGGTTTTAATCGCCACCCAGATGGACTATCTTGTCTTGCTTCAGAATCCACAACACGCTTCAATTAATTGCTAATCGAGAAACTTGCTTTCCCTGCAAAAGTGATTCTTTAACTGTGGAACCATGTGGAATGCACTGGGAGCCATGTCTGTGTGGATTTTTTTCAGATTTTTCTAAAATTTTCTACGATATTTCTCTTAGGATTTGTCAAATTTCTACATTTTTCGTTATCGTACCAACGTTTCAGATTGTTCTGATTAATAATCGACTCAAATCGAGGAATGGCTCAAACTCTGGCTCTTATTCGTTCTGTTCGAGGATAAGGTGTAACTTTCCCTTTCACAATCCTTCAACCGTTGATACTCATACGCGCACGATTTGATGCATGCAATGTGAATGTAATATTTTGATTGGATCGTTACATGCCTAAACGTCATAGCGTGGACATTGATCTCTTGTTACAAAAATTGTCTAAATATTTTGACCGCGGCGTTTTTTACGATTACACCGTATTGACGCAATGCAGAAATAATATTCCTAATACAACCTAGGGCCCTTTGTCAATCCTCTGCAGGGTGAAGGGCTCCCCATTCCATTTCTGATGTGGGAGATCGACCATACTTCACCACGCTGGTCAATGCAAGTTGGTGAAAGGGGGCTGCCCAGGACAGGTTCAGATTATCACGTTTCCACTGATGTTAGCCGTTGCTAGGTATCGATTTTACATTTGTGCGTTGATAGCACGGTGTGCTAATCACTACGTCACTACTCCCCATGAAGATATAACAATGAAATATATACACATGCGTCTGTATATGTGTATCTATATGTATATATTATTGTGCCTATGTGTATATATAGTTAGATATTTAACTATATCGTGCTGTATATGTGTCTGTATACGTATGTGCAACCCATATTCGTAATATTTATTAAAGTCTCCTAATAATGGGCTCCCACAGCCACTGTGACGCAAATAAAGCATCTAAAGCCAGCCAATAATTTTTCAAATTATATATTTTTTATTTATCTCACCTTTATATTCTTGGTTCTTTCGGTAAAGTCACGTTGAAGGGAAACAATAAAATAATTATATATAAAACAATAAAATTCTCACGACGTTTCCACTGCAACACAAGCAGTCATCATCAGGTGTGAAAACCAACGGCAAGAACATTTGAAAGAAGTGGCGGTTTGTATTTTTTTTTTTTAACGTTAGCACCACGGATAGCGATTTGACAGTTTGTTTAGATGGACGAGTCCATCTATGTTCGGAAAATAGGAGGGGGGAGACGAAAAATTCATGTATGCTGTTTGAAAGCCACCGTAAGCGTGAACAATCAATTAAGACCCGAAATGGTTTATCAAATCCTTCCAATGATTGCTAAGCCAGAATCCATCTTCTCGGTTGAAATTCTCTGTGTTTGTATATGTGGATAGCCTCATGAACGAATCTCTCATGGTAGCCATATGGCTTACAAAGAACCTCTGTCTTGGAAAAGTCAATGTCATGTGAGCCTACTCTGTTATAACAATGATCTGCCACGGCCGAGGTGTTGGTCCTACCGTGTTTAAGGTCTGCTTTGTGTTCACGAATGCGGTCCGAGACATGGCGTTTGGTTTCTCCAATGTAACTACTACCACAGAGGCAACTTAGTTTGTAGACACCAGGGTACTGTATGTCCGGAATCACATCTTTTACAGACGGAACCAGATCACGGATTTTATGTAATGTGTTGAAACGGACCTGGATCTTGTGTTTATTCAAGATTGCGGGGATCACAAAAAAGATCTCCAAAATCTTGAATAAACACAAGATCCAGGTCCATTTCAACACATTACATAAAATCCGTGATCTGGTTCCGTCTGTAAAAGATGTGATTTCGGACATACAGTACCCTGGTGTCTACAAACTAAGTTGCCTCTGTGGTAGTAGTTACATTGGAGAAACCAAACGACATGTCTCGGACCGCATTCGTGAACACAAAGCAGACCTTAAACACAGTAGGACCAACACCTCTGCCGTGGCAGATCACTGTTATAATTCAGTAGGCTCACATGACATTGACTTCTCCAAGACAGAGGTTCTTTGCAAGCCATCTGGCTACCATGAGAGATTCGTTCATGAGGCTATCCACATATACAAACACAGAGACAATTTCAACCGAGAAGATGGATTCTGGCTTAACAATCATTGGAAGGATTTGATAAACCATTTCGGGTCTTAATTGATTGTTCACGCTTACGGTGGCTTCAGCATACATTAATTTTTCGTCTCCCCCCTCCTCTTTTCCGAACATAGCTGGACTCGTCCATCTAAACAAACTGTCAAATCGCTATCTGTGGTGCTAACGTTTAAAAAAATAAATACAAACCGCCACTTCTTTCAAATGTTCTTGCCGTTGGTTTTCACACCTGATGATGACTGCTTGTGTTGCAGTCGAAACGTCGTGAGAATTTTATTGTTTTATATATAATTATTTTATTGTTTCCCTTCAACGTGACTTTACCGAAAGAACCAAGAATATGAATCACTGCAGTCACTAAAGCTTTAAATCAAAATTTATCTCACCTTTTTACAATGTTTTGTTCGTACTAATTGTTTCTTTCGTGACCCGTCAGTGCCAATTATTTGACGTACTCTTCTCTACGTTATATTTTTCATTTCCAGTTTTCATTGTTTGTGTTTCATTGTTGCCGTGCGAACTCTCGATATTTGCTTTAAAGAGGGGCTCTGCACGTTGCCCAGCGAGGTGGCACTCAAGCACGAGCGAAGGGTTCGATTCAAATCCCTCCCTCTTTCAGAATTCCAAAATTGTTATTGCATTAATATTCACCAGAAAAAAAAAGTTGACTTTAATTTTTATTATAATAATGAATGTAGGATTCTATTTAATAATCCTGAAGTTTTGGGATTGCCCCCTCCCCATGGGAAGCTACTTTATCCACCTCTGAACTCAAGCCATCATCCCTCCTGTAAGGATAAAATTAGTACCACCTTGTGAGGAGTCAGAAGTGGATAAACTTGTGTTGGTGGGCATCTGCTGCCATAGGAATGTCGTATTTGCACAACTAGTTCAGGGCTGTCAGTGGAGATGAAACATGGGGGACACTCGGCATTCAACTGCAGACTGGATTCAGGCGTGTCTTACCTAGAGCCAGACAGCCCTCTGTCACGCTCTGTAAGGAGTTGCGTGCCACACGTGATGCTCTCCGTTTATACTTTACTGCTTTTTACCAAAAACAGTAACCCTCAGAGCTGGGATACACCAAATTAGATAGAGAAATGTGACATACAGGTGATACTTCAGAATCAAAATATTGATTTATACTGGAATAATCCGATGAGCTATAAAGCTATTGTTTCACATGTCCAGTACGGGCGGGTAAGAACGTTACACACTTGTATAGATACCTCCCTGATTTCCAATAACTCTATTTCAGCAGGTGATTGAATACTGCATTGTGCACGCAATTTCTCCATATCTCACAGAGGAGAGTATCAATAGATGGAATATGTCTCCCGAGGGTTGGTGGCAGATTTATAGAGGCTTTTGAATTTAAATGCTTCTTTCTTTTGAGATGTATTCCCGACTATTGTAGTGGGGCGTCTATAAAAAGGATCGCCCTGTATGCATAATAGACACTTGCGTCATTTGGGCAGTTCTTTGGCGGATAGGCAAAGATGATGAAGCATGCTCCACTGTAGAACTGCTTCATCACCGATTAACAAAATGAACTGAACACATGTTGTGAAGAAGGGACAATTCCTGAAACGTCGCCTATGATATATATTTGTTGTTCTAAGGCCCATAGTGTTATTGGCGAAGGTGTTGCGATTTTTTGTATTTATGTTTGTGCACGACTGCCAACTCAGCAGCAGCTGGAACATCACCGAATAATTCGTTGTAATCGACCACCACTGGCTGCCAAGATTTTTAACCCAGGATCTTGACACCGCAGACTGAATTCAACTGATACTGGAAAATTTAAATGTCAAGATTTTGAGTAAATATTTAAATGATTCACAAACGTGGCATTGGACAAGTGCGCGAACCCACCGCCGATGTCAGCATTACACGCTGGTGCTGGGTGAAACGGGACATCGCAGTAGCCTTATTGGGATGGTTGGCAATGATGCCTTTTGTGATGGTCTTGAGTATACAGTGAGGGAAAAAAGTATTTGATCCCCTGCTGATTTTGTACGTTTGCCCAATGACAAAAGAAATTATCAGTCTATAATTTTAATGGTAGGTTTATTTGAACAGGGAGAGACAGAATAACAACAACAAAATCCAGAAAAACGCATGTCAAAAATGTTATTAATTGATTTTCATTCTAATGAGGAAAATAAGTATTTGACCCCTCTGCAAAACATGACTTAGTACTTGGTGGCAAAACCCTTGTTGGCAATCACAGAGGTCAGACGTTTCTTGTAGTTGGCCACCAGGTTTGCATACATCTCAGGAGGGATTTTGTCCCACTCCTCTTTGCAGATCTTCTCCAAGTCATTAAGGTTTCGAGGCTGACGTTTGGCAACTCGAACCTTCAGCTCCCTCCACAGATTTTCTATGGGATTAAGGTCTGGAGACTGGCTAGGCCACTCCAGGACCTTAATGTGCTTCTTCTTGAGCCACTTCTTTGTTGCCTTGGCCGTGTGTTTTGGGTCATTGTCATGCTGGAATACTCATCCACGACCCATTTTCAATGCCCTGGCTGAGGGAAGGAGGTTCTCACCCAATATTTGACGGTACATGGCCCCGTCCATCGTCCCTTTGATGCGGTGAAGTTGTCCTTTCCCCTTAGCAGAAAAAACACCCCCAAAGCATAATGTTTCAACCTCCATGTTTGACGGTGGGGATGGTGTTCTTGGGGTCATAGGCAGCATTCCTCCTCCTCCAAACACGGCGAGTTGAGTTGATGCCAAAGAGCTCCATTTTGGTCTCATCTGACCACAACACTTTCACCCAGTTGTCCTCTGAATCATACAGATGTTCATTGGCAAACTTCAGACGGGCATGTATATGTGCTTTCTTGAGCAGGGGGACCTTGCGGGCGCTGCAGGATTTCAGTCCTTCACAGCGTAGTGTGTTACCAATTGTTTTCTTGGTGACTATGGTCCCAGCATCCTTGAGATCATTGAGCAGATCCTCCCGTGTAGTTCTGGGCTGATTCCTCACCGTTCTCATGATCATTGCAACTCTACGAGGTGAGATCTTGCATGGAGCCCCAGGCCGAGGGAGATTGACAGTTCTTTTGTGTTTCTTTCATTTGCGAATAATCGCACCAACTGTTGTCATCTCACCAAGCTGCTTGGCAATGGTATTGTAGCCCATTCCAGCCTTGTGTAGGTCTGCAATCTTGTCCCTGACATCCTTGGAGAGCTCTTTGGTCTTGGCCATGGTGGAGAGTTTGGAATCTGATTGATTGATTGATTGCTTCTGTGGACAGGTGTCTTTTATACAGGTAACAAGCTGAGATTAGGAGCACTCCCTTTAAGAGTGTGCTCCTAATCTCAGCTCGTTACCTATATAAAAGACACCTGGGAGCCAGAAATCTTTCTGATTGAGAGGGGGTCAAATACTTATTTCCCTCATTAAAATGCAAATCAATTTATAAAATTTTTAACATGCGTTTTTCTGGATTTTGTTGTTATTCTGTCTCTCACTGTTCAAATAAACCTACCATTACAATTATAGACTGATCATTTCTTTGTCAGTGGGCAAACGTACAACATCAGCAGGGGATCATATACTTTTTTTCCCCTCACTGTATATGGAGTCGCCACCTGTCTGGGAATTGTCATGTGTGTTCGGGTGGCAGGAATTGATTTGTACCGAGATTCGATACTGAAATTGTGTTGAACTATTGTTACAGAACACTGCACGGTTTTGATAAACCGAGAAATTATGACAAAAATAAGGAAAGAGTTTACCCTGTCTGGCAATAAAACAGGTGTTGCGATATTTCAACACCAAATTGATACCTATTGCAAGGCATCAAGT